TTTGGGTGTTTAGTGCAGTGTGATTTGAGAATGTTTTCTTCGCTGATATAAATGTATATATAACAACTCTGAGATCTAATTCGTGACGATGAGTTTTAGTGAGAAGCTGTAACTAGTGGAGTTCAACCATGTTGAACGTAAAACAGTTATTAGCCTCAAGCAATTAAAGATGGCCATGAGATATCCTGAATTAATTGAAGTTTGATACATACAAAATACAATTGCATATATCGGCTTAGTGGCCTAGAGGTCAAGGACTTACGACCAAACCACAGGTCCTGGTCTAAATCCTTTACAGAGGGGTTATGGATCCACACTGCTAAAGAGTCACATACCAGGACGAAATAGCTGTAAGGCACATCCTAACTTTTAATGGTTATCTGACAGATCATTTCTTTATATAAACTATGCAAATTTAACATTCCTTACAAAACCCCTATACCAATAAAAATCAATCAGCTCGGTTTAGCAAATTGAAAACTTAATATTAATCCACATATTACAATGGAAAAGATCACTTTTATTTTGTTAACATATATACTTGTCCTAAAGTTTTACCTTCTTATTATCTCCCATTCTTGTTACAGAATAATCGGTGTGACCAATGTTCGTGTTGGAGATGCATCGGTTATTTCAAAAATTCCAACTGGTAATCCAGCTTCACTTATAATGGCTATTGGAAATCAGTTAGCCAAATATATAATTCATGAAAATTGGCAACAGTTATCTTTGATGATGGGCTGAAACTATATATATATATGAAATGCCTTTCGACTTTATAATTTCACATTTGAAAGCAAACAAACTATTCAGTATAATAAATCATGAAAATGTTTCTTGAACCATTCAGTTGTAAAATGTGATTACACCTGTTCTTAATGTAAATCATGTTAGGCAAATTAATTATTAGCATTCATTATGTTCAATAATATTTAGTCAGTACTTTAGAACTACCATTAATATTGTTAATTTTCTTTTAATATACAGTTTTCTTTATCTGTTAGTTTTCGACACTTGATAAGCATGTGATAGAAAGATGATGTAGATTGTTTGTTGATGCAAACATTATTACGTTTATAGGATTTAAACATGATAGCTGAATTCTACTTCATATAAATCTTTGTATGATGTTAATATTGGGATACGAAAATTATGATAGTTCGTTAATTTCTTTTTATATTAGGTTTACATTTAATGTTTATTAAAAATTATTACTCAATCACGTGAAATCCATGTTACCTCTTTAGTATGCCGTTACAAATTTCGACAATCTGTTAGTAACAAAGTTTATAGAGATTCAGTGGTTTTTAGATTAACTCGTACAATTTCATTCCTGTATAATCTAATTATAAATTTTCATTTTGATGGACATAATCTGTTAGCATGCAGAAATGAAATCATTTTCGTTACCAATAATCGCTATCAGATTTATATATAGGCTGCGTCTCTATTGGGACACTCAAATCGAAGTATGTGGTTTTCTCAAGCAGCTAATTCCTAGGTCTTTAACCAAGAAGTGTGACCCATAAGGCTATAAGGCAAGGTTGGTAGACGGTGTCCCATGGTATCAGACAAATAAAAAAGATTCACAAGTTGTTTGTTTAATCAGGATCCTTGAGATCACGTACACCAATCGTTTGCTATCAAGGTTTTCGAACTCTTTTAGAGAGACCTTTCATATCTACCAACCTGGTTAAAGCACCGGAAATCTGCTTTTGTTACAACTATTTTCTTGATCAAGAATTTTTCTACTGACAAATTTCCAGGCACATTGTAGTTTAACAGAGCTGCTGTAATAATAATACCGGGATTTGTCAGTAATTAAAAACCAATACTGCCTCATATCTAAATTAGTTACGACTAGGCATTGACCAAGTTATTTTGTTTCACTGAATGACAAACTTGTGGTAAAGCCCTTCAAAATGTGTTTACACGTGGGTAGTTGAAAAAGTTTGTCGACAAAGATGTGGAAAACAGCATAGCGAGCAAATAAGTACTACTTCAATTGAGAACATTATTCACTTAAACTTTTCTTTTGGTGAAAATATATTTCAGAATGTAAACAACAAATTACTATACATACATACCCCAACTACTAACACTGCCAAAGTGCAAACTGCTACTCACGTTGTATACCAGCCGAAAATGGATGAATATTTATTAGCAAACCACTCACAGATGAGTCAGAAAAGTCATCTTAGCCTATCGTAGAGAGTGCATGACGGAATTAATATACCTTTCTCCCAATAGGTTCTGAGAGCCCTGAGCTTGAAAGAAACTTTCGATCACTAACATTTGCAGTCTATTGGCATTTAATCAATCTACAACATTTTCAGATATGTGAATGTTACATTTAAACTAATTAAAATGCACAAAATTACTATTTTTATTATTGTAATTGTTATTTGCGATTACCATGGAACAGTTTAAAAGTGAGTTATGTATAAGAAAGATAACAATCATTCTAGTGTTACCGTGGTAACTTCGTGTTGACCTGATTGCATGATCTTTTTGTTTGACTATATACCTGATTGTAAACTCAATTCTTATCATATTTTTCTATACGTAAAGAGAATTGTTTTACATAGCTCAAATGGGGCTATCTATGGACATAGACATGACATGAAGAACTAATAATAAATCAGAAAATATACACATTGCATAACCCCAATACCTATAGCAGATTTAGTGAAGAGCTTTCATGTCTAGAAATAAATATGCTACTTTTGAACAGTGATAAACATTTGCAAACAACATTAAATGTTAACAGGATCAATGTTATAGGTTAGTTAATATTGTGCCTTGGGTTGGGGTGACTCTGTCGATCATGAATTTTCATAAGATTACCGAGGTCTCCACCCTGATATGTGTTTCCAGTGTGCATACAATTATTTACTGAAGTAAACGTCATAAGTATGTTTTTCTGTGGTATTCTATAACAAGATAAAATATTCACTTATCCAAACAACCAATGTATATATGAATTGAAAAGTTAAGATTGAATATTTTACCAATGCTTAAAAAACCTTTTTATATTTATTCTTTAAATATGTATGTGAAAAGAAATGTCTGTTTTTAATCTCACTTAGCTCATGCATTGTTTAGGCTTGCCTGTAGACAAAGATAAAGTTAGGTAGCAAGATTTGTAAATGTGCCAACCTAATTCTTTATTATTATTTGATGTAGGTATAATTACTTTTAAATGATACTAGAAACATTGGTTTTCCAAGTTATCCATGAATGTAGATCTCATAAACAGGATTTATAACCAGTTTAGTCAAGATAGTTGTATACTTAAATAGAGAGACGAATAATATGCTTTACTGAAAACAAAGACAATCATGAGTAACTCATGTTTATTCCACTAGTATTTACCTAGTGAGTGCGGTTCGCACTTGTTCTTGTGTTTCTTGACAGTAGTTTGGTTGTAATTTTTACTTCAGGTTATCTCTTATTCAGTCATCAGATGTCATTACAGTTCTTCATGATTTTTATCCACTTGCAATTACCATCAATCCCCAAGCACACTTTTCATTTCTTCTTCATATCTATCAAGTGTGCAATTACGTAACACACTACTGGTGGGTAAATTATTTTCATTTTCAACTTTTAAACCATTTTCAAACTAGCTTTTGATACTTGGACTCTGAATACTTGGTGATGTACTCTCATTCTGTTGTACATAAAGCTAATATACTTCTTAAATCACTATGAACGAAATTGTACAGATTTAAAAAATCTTATTTATTGAACATATATTGTATAACAAAAGGACCATATCGAAACAATCGGAATCAAATGAACAATCGCCAACAAATACAAAATTTATTTACGTATGTTAACAACCAGACAATTCAAACCCACACTTATAATAGTATAGAAACTATATTTCTTGAACAAAATAGTGACTATTTAAACCTAGTAGATCTGCAAATAACAAGTTCGCGTTCGAATAAAAAAAAATATTCGGTTCGAGTCTGAACGTGAATGAACATCAAAGTAGTAATGAGGCTGCATCTAGCAGACGAGTCCAAAATTAACCGATATATATGTCCTGGATTACACTACTAGACATAATCTATCCATTCCATATAACTTCACTGAATCGTCTCCATTTCTTCTTTAATGATACGACGGGCCTCTTTCTTTGCAAACTAGAGGTAATTGTGGTCACAATAATAGGTCATTATCATTAACATTCAGCTATGGATATGATGTGATAGAAAAGTTCTTATATAAGTGAATAAATTAAATTAGAAAACTAGTCAGTTCGAAAATAATTTTTTTTAATAATTGTTTTATTAATTAACGTGAACTTATAAAAACGTCAAATGATTTACATTGAATTAGTATTCTATACATAACATAAAATTCATGAATTATTGATTTTTTGTTTTATGATCAATATTATCTTTAGTTAAAATGAATCAATATTAAAGTAAACAGCACTTTCTGAAAGACAGATCAATAAAATAATCAATAAACTATTGAACTAATTCACAAAATGTTTAATTATATATTGATTAGAAATATTGTATTTCAATATAACATTGATTAATTAATGAGAAAAATGTACTCTAAATCATTTAAATAAATTTTTCAATGATTATTATATAATTATTAAATTATTTTGAGTAATTTAATTATGTACCGTTAAAAACTATTGAGTTTTCTAAAACATATGAATTTGGAAGAAAAAAAAAGAACATAGTGATTAGTATCATACAAAGATAATATGTGTTAATAAGTAAGATATTATTAATCGTAACAGAAGTTCATTACATATCCAGTAACTATAGAATTATTCTAAAGAAAGACTAAGATTTGAATAGAGATAAGCATTTTATCTTATCCAACATTAATCAGCTGAATTTATCTGTGTTAATGTTTAAACGGAAAGTGAAAACTAGTACTCAGTGATTGAAACTCCTGTAGAGTAATCACTTAGAGTATGATCCTTTAACAGATATAAAGATATCATATATTTACAAACTGAAATGCGTATTGCTAATCCAACGATCTTTAATAAAAGTGAATTATAAATCTATGCAATATTCAAACATTTGTTACAGAAACCCATATGCTGAATGGAGGAATAGTCAAAGTCAGTTTAATTATTAACAGTAAAGAAATACAAATACCTGGAGTCCACAATTTACTTAAAAAGATTAATTATTTAAATAAAGCTTTATGAAACTTTTATGGGATGAAATTAGGCGATAATCTTTATAGCGAAAGGTTGGATTAAATAAAGATAACCTGTCCACAAAGATTGTGACAGTTCATTTTATCTGACGTATCAAAGTAATTAACATTTCTTTTGAAGATTTGGACTAATATCTTTTAATATTTTAGTAATCTATCGTAATATCTAAACCGTTCATGTTTCCAGCATGATCTGCCATAAATCACATGTAAGACATAAATTTGTTTTCATTTTCAAGGATCCTTGTAGCATAATATAGAGTTAAGTCCCGTGAATCACTGAAAATTGAGCAGTTAATTCTTCTCATTTTAATAAGTACTTAGTAAGTTTGCTTTACAATAACATTAACTATTATAGTCTATTTGCACGTTCTCTAAATTTATGCTTTTTAAGCCACATAGTTACTACTAAATGAATGAGTCATTTTAAGTTGATTGATCTGTTTGGTCATTTTAAGGATACGTATTATGTGTTATTTGTTGTTGTTAGCGCGTTTTTCCTGATTGTAGTTAAACGACCAGTGAAAACCAGGAAGTACTAGACGACTGTTTCATCCTAGTGTGTGATTACTTAGCTTAGCGCATCTATCATCTCTTCAGGGGTTCCAACCCAAGATATTCACATCTACAGCAAGAGTCTAATAGTAAATCTACTGAGTCAGGTTCTAATGGTTTATGTGTCCAACTTTAGTCAATCTGCGCTGTCGCGAAATAATCCGTTATTTCTGTTGGTGGATAAGTGCCTCACACCCGACATGTCTAACTTCCAGTAGCCACAAAGTATCATCAGAACTCCTGGAATTACATCTTGAAATCCGTCACTAAATAACACGTTAATATTCTTTTTTGGTATAAGGTGCATGTGGAAATTATTGAATCTTCATAGTTTACATCATGATTTGATCTTAGCTAGACAATCAATTTTGTGTCAAATAAAATACAGTTTGAAACTTTCCATTTGAAATAGAGTCCATTTCAGCTACATAGTTTAGTCAGTCATGAGTTTAGGACTGTGAATCCACTTCTTCATTTCAGCTCATAGTTTGAGTACGAACGTTTTTACTCAATGACTGAGTGTATTAAATACTGCTTATTTCTCATACTCCAGACTTGCAATATAGCTAGTCATCTCATCGACCTCCATATAATCTGGTATGTGGAAAGTAATTGTGATCAACGTTTAACATTCGTTTTCTATTTAAAGAAGTTAGCTTGATGCTAATGACTGGAATGAAAAGGCGAATTAACCTCCGAGAACATTAAATCATATGCAAACTAACTAGATCAATATTTTTGATAAAAAAAAGACCGCGAATTTGTTGTTTTCTCATCGGTTTCATCACCTTCTAGGTCAGTGAGACAGATCTCATTAACTGCTTAGCAAGTATAGACAGAATGTGATAAGCATGAATATTGTTATCACTTTTAATGGATCAGATTTAACACAACTCTTAACTTGATAGTAAAAACTAAGCATACAAGTGTATTTTTCATCAGTCTAAAATATCGCTGATTTTGTTAATAGGTAATATGCAGCTTGCTGATTAAAATGTCCCGTCAATCCACAATCAGTGAATATATGTGTGCACATGCCGTTGTGTTCAATAACGAAGAATTACCACTCGAAATAAAGTGAAAGGTGGTTGATGATTTAACTGACGGAAAACCAAACAATCACTACTGAGAAGCCCCATACTAGGACGAGACGGCCGTCTAGTGTTTCCAGGTTTTCAATGGTGATCCAACAGTGACCGGTTCACAATCTAAATAAAACATAACGTCCACAACCCTATAATGATATTATTAAAAATGTCTTTAAAGAACGTTTATTTGTAAATCCAATTTTATTCAAAGTTACTCATAATTACGATGAACTTTCTTTTAATGTCAAGAACTTGAAAGAGGTTGTTTGTGAACTCTCAAATTAGTTTTCCTATTGTTTAGGATTTTTAATCAAGGCGAATTAATAATCCTTGAGAAACTGTCACCCTTCTTGGGATTCAGATTTATTTCACAGTAGGAAATATTAATGGACAGCTATCAGACCAACAGCTTGACCGTAAAAGAAAGCCAAGAGGGCCATAACCTTGCAGTCATTAGTATTTATTTAAAGACACCATATACTATTTATTAATGAGTTTTAGACAGTGCACAAGTTAGGTTCATGAATTTCTGTTATGAACAGCTTTACAACAAAACAATTTAACGCCCCCTCCAATTGCCAAAGGGCTAGTTATGGTATTCTACTATTAAGTACAAAATGGATCGTAGCTTCATAATTATTGTTAATTTCAGGGTTGAATAAAATTGCTATTCAATACCCTATGGTTCTTCAAGACTGAACGTTTGTTTTAAACCATAAAATCGTGAAATACTAAAATGTACACTAACTCACTCGCTTATTCGCTATTCGTATCATTTACCCGTGATTCTGAGCTTCTCCTTGGATTTGATTCATCTTGACAAAGCAACTTAACACAAACAGCTCCAGCATCATATAATGTAGGATAGATTGATTTCAATCCAGGACAGACATACCAGTCACATGCAGATAAACATTTGAATGGAGTTGGATCTACAAGCAAACGCGGATTTATTTAACATTTATCCTTAGTATTAAGTGTGAATAGATGAGTAAAAAGATTTTATTTAAATGATAGCTTTTAATATGTTGACGTTCAAACAACCCTGAGAAAAACGTTACTCGAAACGTCTTCATGTTACTAATGTTGTTCTCCAATTAAAATGTTCAACACAAACAGATGAGTTATTTTAATATTACAAAATAAATCATTGATGATCCTAATTAAGAATGACGAAAAAATGAATCAAGCTTCCCGATTAAACTTGATCACTGATTGTTTGTGTGGTATACCCACAATCAATTTGTTCTTTTTGTCAATAATGGGAAGGCACTTTTGAGTTTAAAGTACTTTTTAGAAAGTGTCGACAAAGCACAACGACATTGTGTTTTCTCAAGAAAAATCTACTAGGATGACAGTCTTCAAAGACGACCACTAGCATACTGCTTGTGATATATTTAAAAATTACCTGGAATGGTTAATTCAAGATATAAGATCTTTGAATAACCTATCCATCGAAATAACAAAGTGACGTTTGTGACAAATTGAAAAAACAACTCAACTTTAAAACAATTTACTAACGATTAAAAATAAAATTAACTATTTCATTTACTCTCTTTGGAGAATTAAATTAAAATAAACAAGTTAAAGGTAGCTGTTAACTTGTCTTGATTGTCAATATCATCTTATCTTTTGTTGTCTAATTTTAGAAATGATACTAGTCGTGAATCAATTGGATGCCAAATCAATGTCAAAGGTTTGGACGTTTGTTACGCTACCTAAAGGTGTTGGATTCGATACTCGGGGAGATCAGTGATGTTCATCGCTTCCTAGTCTTGAGTGATTAATCCATATTTGTTCTCATTGTTGTTAATTTTACTTGAGATTGACAAATTATTATTTTTTGATCAAAAAACGAAGAATAAAGACACACCATGGTTGTTTGAATTTTAACAATTATTTTGAATTTTCGATAAAACGTCGATTTTACTACGGTTTACCGAAACAACTGCCATAAAAAGACTCAAAACGAGTTGATGCATCCAGAAACATTCATTTGTTAGTCTTGCCTTGCTCCTAGTGAACTCATTCACAAATGTCTGCCATGGGATTATTCTTTTCATGACATAAATTATTCATTTCCAATTCTTATCTGATATGTGTTTATTAGTTAATTCGCTTAAGAGTTACGTAAATTTAAGACTAATATATTATCATTATCAGAATGGGTTTTGTGGAGATTTTAGAAATTTCCCATACTAGGACGAAACGGCCGTCCAGTGCTTCCAGGTTTTCAATGGTGGTCTAGCTTCAACTGACTAATGATTTCAATCTGTGTAATATATTATCCCTGAATAATTGTGTTTTCATATTCTTGGCCGTTTATTCTAGAATATTCTTACATATTCAACTTAAAAATATTCACATCATTTAGCACATAAATGTCTCTTAACATTTTTTTCATACTTATTGCTCTTTTAATTCATCCTCGTTGACGAGACCTCTGCTGACGTTATGATATAAAGTGTGTATACTGATTTTGAATGATTCATATTATTATGTTTAGGTATTGAGCAGCTGATGGGGAACCGTGAAATATCTAATTCACGTTATTCTGCTAAATTGATTGTTCGTGCTTCAATTAAATTAGGTTGAAAAAAAATTAAACATGACATTAAAACGAATCATCTTTTTGTCAAAAAACAATAAACAGTTGAAAAAAATTATAATGATAACATCAAAGGTTATGAATCTTTAATCAATAAAATAAACGACCGATGAAATTACAGGTCAGACGATTGTGGAAAATTTCTAATAATTTACTTCTTACTGGAGTGGGTGTTGATGAAAGCTAGACTATTCAACAATCTAGCTCAAAGAACAAAACACCTTGAAAATTTAGAAATACTTTTACCTCCACATAGGATCACAAAGAGATTGTTTTTATACAAATTTCGTTGTATTTCAGTGAGTGCAGCAGCCCCAGCTGGATCAATGTGAGTAATTCCAGATATGTCCAACAAAAGAAATCTTCGTAATTTTTCCCCATCATGCTTCATTAGAAAGTCATGCAGGTCAACATGTAATGAAGGTAGATTTGGTTCAGTTTGACGATGAGACAAATTACATCTTTCTGTCCTGAGTATCTGAAATGATTTCGGTACATTCAAATTTAGGTGAAGGATGGGGAAGTGTAAAACGGAAAACAAAAATAGAAGTCTAAATTGTATATGAACAATCATCGAGTAACTGTATAGGACATTTTATTTATAATATCAATAACTAAACTCAGTTTATTCTCAATCTTATACCTGATTACAACTATTCCCGCAAAGATTCTACGGTTACACGTTGTACCAAACACGGTTTAGGAGGAGTTTAGGACGTAAGGTTAGCAACCACATCCACTAGAATACAAACTTATAAAAAACACGCCAATCACAAAATACCATTTAAACCTTTTGAACTCTGTCTCAGGAGTCAAACGGTCTTCATATAAAAGAGCTATGAAGCTATATGATGAAATCTGAGATTCTTCAGATATCATGAAGCCCATGCCTATTTCTACAACTAGAGCAGCAATTAACATAGATAATTGCAATGTCAGAATAATGTGCGAGACCTGTATGACCAATAAAACAACTGCAGAAATGAGAAGATACAACCTGACGGTGCATGGAAAAAGTGAAATCGATTGGAACAAATCTGGATAGCAAATATTAGATTCAGGAGAGTTTCTGTTGTACTCTGATCATGAAGAAGAGAAAGATGCTACGCACACACAGAGAGTTGTACTGATGATATCGAACGAAGCATGTAGAGCGCTTATAGGATGGTAATCTCATGTATCCACAATCATCAAATCTTCATTCAAAACAGAGTAAGAGGAGATCACAATGAATCTTGTCGATTGCTATACACTCAACAATGACAGCAACGAAGATGATAAAGATCAGTTAAATGAGAAACTGAATTAGATTGGAAAGAAGTTTTCTGAAAATAAATCTCAAATAGGAATATTTTTGTCACTAAATGCGAGATTGGTGAAATGGTGGCATGGAAATTTGTCAAGTCATTAATCCAAAATTTTATGTAGAAAATATTGACAGCATGAAAGACGAATTCCTGTAATGTTTTTTTTCACATGTTCATTGATAATCAAACACATAACATGACTTAAAGAATCGTGATATATCGATTATAGGAAGCAAACATTGTATGAGTAGTAATATAAGCCATACTATTGTTTTTGAAATGGTGATTTTGTCTGATGAAATTTGTGAATGTTTGTTCCATGAGACTATTAGATTTTTGCATCGTTCCTGCATGTATTTACAATGTTGTATAATATTATGAGCTGGAGAACATTAATATGGGTTAATTATTTAGCTAACGAATTCATATTTAACACTTTAAATGTATAGAAACGTAAGCGGTTGGTTATAAGCTGGACTTCAGTGAATGAAATAGTTATTTATGCAAATGTCCAGTTATGATAATTAAAACTTGAATGGTTCACTTAAATATTTTATATCATATGAGAATAAATGTTCAGTACAGTTTACCATTACATACATCTATTTAATTAGAAAATCTATAAAATCTAACATTTTTTGGCAGCATGTCATATTTTCTGTCAATATCTGATCATGTTTTCCGAAGATAAGAAATTTCACTGTTGAACTGTTTTATTGTGTACCCTACGTTATTTCGTATATGAATTGTATTGCAACGCACTCTATGATAGTAAAGGATATGGTATAAAACCTCATAGGTGAAAGCAATTTTTTCCAGATTTTAAATCTCCCTTGTTGAAAAAGTGACAACCGGCACGAAACCTATCGCTAGAACATCTAATCCTTTCCCTTCAACCGCTTCACATATACGTTTTAACATTACTTGAAGACGATAATAATTTTTTTAGAAAAACATTTGTAAACAATTACTCACATCACTTGATTTACTGACAACATTACTATTTCTCAATAAGTAATTATCATTGGATTTTGTTCCATTTCTCTCATTTAAAATTTTCGAAAGTTCATAAATATTATTCTTACTATCTTTTGTATTCACAGATGCTTCATTTAATTGACAATGATTGTGATATCCATCTTGTATTTTATCATTAATTCCATTGTGATGACTTAATACATTATTATTAACATAATTGAAATCTTCATCTAACATCATATTATTAATTGTCTTGTAAATGCGATTTGTGAAGTTTTCAGCTGATGAAAAGTTTAATGAACCTAGAACACGTATTGCTTTAATCGATGACAATAGATAATCAGATTGAGTTTTGTCTATTTGCGTTTTGGTTAATAGCTTGAGAAAAGGAAAATTAATAATATCCAATAGTATATACATAAAACCCGCAAAGTTTTAAAACAGAAATTGAAAATAGTTTCTTAGATTTTAGTTGGGATCATGAACTGATTAATATTGGATCACTATTGAAAACCTGGAAGCATAGGTCGGTCGTTTCGTCCGAGTATGGAACACCTTAACAGCACACTTCCACGATCCCGCACTCAGTAGTTTAACCCAGGACCTTCGGTCCCACACGCGAACGCTTAAACTATAAACCACTGAGCCAGCATCCAACGGTGGTAATGTTTAACTTCAACCAATCCACGATATTTCACGGTCGTCCTCCATTATCTTCAGTAACTGCCTCACAAGGTCCTGGGTTCGAGTGCAGAGTGCGGGATCGTGGGTTTGCACTCCTGAGGATTCCGATACTAGTACGAAACGAGCGTCCACTGTTTCTACGTTTTTAATGTTGATCTAACATTGACTAATTCATGATCTCAATTAAAAACTCAACAATCTCCATGATTCTCTAGTGGTAATTTCTTAGATATCTCATAAGTATATCATATTATTTTTAAATAGTTATCGTTCATTGAAGTTTAGTGACCCTAATCTGACTCCATTTAGGTTGTATGATGATAGTTATCGAAAAATACATGCTGTCAATCCCCGCATACAATTATTAACTTAACTCGCGTTAGTGAATAACGGAATTAAATAAGCCAGTTGCGAGGATAGATTGTATATACGTATATTTCATACAGTCGTTGATCTGAACAGACAACCAGGGAAACTCAAGGAAGGAAACGAAGCGAAATGAAACGAAACAAAGTAACGTCCAGATGAGAAGGCAAATGAGTCAACTCGATCTGATCAAGCGTAACTCAATATTTATAGTCAGACCAAAAATAAATTACTGACATGTGATGAATAGGGTTAGTAATCAACACATACAATCATATAAAAATAGTCAGGGTTAATAAAAGAATAATCAACAAAGTCAAAATGCGGCTTGAGAAGAATAAATAAATTGGTCTGTTCAGAAGCTAGAGTAACCTATGTAAGCTTGACATAGAACCAGCCATTACAGAAGGTCATTTACATCATGAACTTGACATTATTCAAAGACTTAATAAGAACTGTTGATTACTAAAAAGCTGAACACTAATAGTTTGAGATTTCTCATACTCTTAGAACATTCAACCTTGTCATTGGTCACGATATCTTTAAACCACTGAACTGACATCCAGCAGTGCATATTTTAAACCACAATATATTCGTGTCAGTTCTATCTTCATATGACATCGACGATCAACTATTTATCGATTCGAACAACTAGAAAGTCAGTCACTGCTTCAATTCTCAAGCGATAGTAAACTACGATAAAAAGTAGTTATTCAAATTTTATATAGATCTCGACAGTGTATTAAAAATTAACCACGGTTTAGTTAGGTTATGACGGTAACAATTCAAGGGGCTACGATAAGTTACGGAGTACCATTACTAAACTTTAAAAGTATACACTATTCTAAAACAACTGATAAATACACCTTTCAACTAAGTGACTTTCTTCTGTGTAGTACATAGAGAAAGGTAAGTCATTAAAAAATTCGTAAACTAGTAAATATATTGGTAGGAAAAATAATACATGATAGATAAACGGACATGTATGATATTCTATTTGTGGATGTTGTTTCCTTAGAAAAAAAAACATTTAATCGATTGGCTTTTTAGACTTTTCTCTTCGATTTATTTTGGGCGTTCCCCTCCTATTATTTTTGTATTTTGTTGTTTGTTAAGAGAAATATTTTTGCATATACAGAAAATACTATTGAGAAATAAGTTACAAACAAATGAATTCAAGAACGGAATATTTGGATGATTTGTTCAACATGAAATCCATTTTCGTCATATGCGTTGGCCAAATCCAGCACGGGGATTATGGGTGTATGAAAGAATATTCTTTTCAATAAAATTTTTCAGGTTCTACAATTATCTGTCCAAATTATTAACCCAAAAAATGGCCAGGTTAGGGCAAAGTGCAATGTTTGAAGTTATATCATGTTAAACAGTTTAAAATTGTTAATATTGAAATAGCTCATATGCAACGTTAACTTGAATCAGCTTATATATTCAGTGAAATTTTAAAATCCATGATCGGGATTAATATGGGTCAGAGAAGGTGAGAGGAATAATAGTACAATTACAAACAGGATCAAATGTTTAAAAGACTATAATGTGTAGAAACTATACATAATTTTAGTAAGGAATAATAAAGTCGGATGAGTGCTATGTAAATAAGTCATGTATTAGGGAGACTAATGATGATTTTGAACCAAAAATAATAACGAAAATAATAATAATAATATAAAAACATGAAAATAAAGATAACAGACATTATCATATTTTAATAGTTTAATTCATGAGTCGATCTAGGCTAGACCACCATTAAAAACCTGGGAGCACTGAAAGGCCGTTTCGTCCTATTTCCAAGATGGATTTTCTAGAGTTCTAGTTAGAAGCCATGACCAGTGAAGTCCGATCCGTGTTCGGTGTGAAACAATTATCCAATTCAGATAATGGATAAAGGGTTGAGCAAGATCATAGATCGATTGAAGTTAGACATTAACACAGTTAAATGCCGACTCATTGGTCTAGAGGTTAAGCATTTGACTGAAAAGTCAAAGATTTAATACACAACTTCCTAGGTCGCTTCATCTTTCCGTCTTCACTGTTTAAGTAGTGTGCATCACCCAGAGTTTCTACTCAATTGTCAGTTCATTTCATAGGTGAATGCTGACTATTACATTTAATTCTCACCAAAGGTTTTATTTCAGGCATAGAAATTTCTCCCCCAACTGTTTTCTATGAATATAGGACTATAGTACAGTACAATAGACAAGACTGAAAGCATAAACATATTAAACTGAGAGCTTGAAAGGAAATATCGAACGTAAATTATCTGCCAATAAGCAACACTCATCCGCTTAGTGGACAGATAAATTACCTACAGCGTTGTTTAAAACACGTTAAATGAACGTTGAAAATATGACGAACAACCTCAGCCGAAAGTGACGTTAGTATTGATTTACTTCTCATACTTTGTTTACTTGAGGGCACATATAATAGACTTAAACAACTTGATCGTCAATAATTCGATCTATCAGACATGAATAGCACCAAAAAACGTTATTGGGTGATCACTGAATAGTAATCAATGATGTTTTTATTTAATCCTTATTATTCATCGATTTCTATCAATCAAGTTATGGTTACAGCTCTAATTGGCTTAACACTACGGTCTGAACAAAAATGGCATGATTTTGGGCTATGGTTTAGTAGAGATTTATTTAATTTATAGATCGTATTCGTCATTTGGAGTACCACTGAAACTAAGACACACTAGATAGCCGTAACGTTCTAACTGAAACTCTTCAAAAAAGAACATCTATGAATATTAACTACAAATTAAGCCGACTAAGCTATAATAATTAGGTCGTTGTGACTTACCTCAAAATGTTCCTAAAGTTCTAATAAAAAGTCAGAACCGATGGGATTAAAGTAGTTGTCACCAACAGCATTGTATGATCGTCCCACTGTATTCCATATTGATTGGATTAACTATTGTACTCCTGGACGTCAAATCAGTCCCAATAATTTAATGCTCATCACGAGGCTTTAAAGTATTAAACCCTATCCCCAGTGGGGTTGTGGATACCCATTGTGGAAAGGTTCCGTACTAGATCAATGCAGTTGTCTAGTGCTCTTTGGTTTTTAATGGTACCCCAATTATGAAAAATCTGTGATGAATACTACTTAGAAACATGACATTAGTTACTATTCAGTGAATAATCCCCATAAATATTTCTTTCCTGCAGGAGAATAAAAAGCGCTAGTTAGTTGGATAACTACGCCATAAATTTCCGTAACTTAAATTTGTTGGGGAAAATATGTATAACAGTCACCGAATTCGAGTATTTGCGAAAGTATCAGTGAACTGACGTAACACTGAATTAGTAATTTAATCATAATAGATGTTTTTAAAAATGCACAAATTATAAGTTGATGAGACTGTTAAAAAATACTAACCACGCGACTACATATGGAAAATGCATTATATTATACTGATGAAACATAGAAAGAAAGCAACTATTTTTCGTTACGTGAATGACAAATTATTCTTAGGAAAACACTAAACTAATCACAATTCTGGCATACGTAATGTGATGTATTGTATTTGTAAAGATCCAAAAAACCAATACAAAATGAATTAAAGCTTCATCCCATTGCACAAGCCAGTGGCTATCAGGACTCAGTTGCTGAGTGGATAACGTGATGGCGTTTGAAGCGAGCGGTACTGAGTTCGAGTCCCAGAGTGAATATCAACTCTAAAACGTAGGTAAATCCAGCTGAAGAGTCTCGAATAGGACAAAACACGTGTCCTGAGTTCCACTGCTGACCACCATCCATCTGTATTTATTATGCTTGTGACTTAAGTCAATATCTAGGCAATCCGCGCAAGGTGAGCATATGCCAATAACAGACTGATTGATTTCAGTCCTAAACATCAATGGGATGATTCAAACAACCAGTACAAAATAAATTATTAACAATTTAGCTTACTTCATAATGTTTATGAACATAAAGTTCTGTGCCTGAGATATTGCACAATTCCAGTAGTTTGATGCTTCGCTGTCTTTCCGTTAATACAATAAGACAAGAGATTAGACCAACTAACAGACCGTAAGTTACATCAAGTATGATAGTGCCCAAAAACGTTACAGTGAATAGAAACTGTTCAAAGAAAAAAAGATTGAACGTCCATAAAATAATGTGTTATCTGTCTTAATTTCATTTCGTAAGCAATTTAAATGTTGCACTTATTGTTTGTTAAATACACAATGTCAATCAACATGACATAAAGGTATCAAATTAATTATCTTTCGTAACCTGAGTGATTATTATAATTGTTAGTATGAGATAATGGATAATATTGTAGCTCATGATAAGGATTCTGGTGGTGTTCTGTTCGCTGAGCTGAATTTCTTGATCTTGGACTAATCATTGTCTTTCTCGAGAACATCATTATCACACACTCCAGTAAGAAATAAATTATTAGAAATTTTCCACAATCGTCTGACCTGCAATTTCATTGGTCACCTTTCATTGATATGTGATGGTTATTTGAATGTTTACCTTGGTCGTTTTCACCTATCATCTGATGACTGATCTTTCAGGTGTTTATCGTCTTCCTTATTGTTTGATAGACTGAGTCGATTCCCATGTGTCTGGTTATCGATCTGTGGCCAGAATGTTGGAGTTGTAAAAATTCTCTTGTTTCGTTTCTGTGTCCACTGTTCAATATTTCGACTTTTCCCTAATCGAAAGCATGTCGATAATTGTCTACATGCATTGTTGCAAGTGAAGCTATGTTGTGATGTTTAACACCTAACTGATGTTCATGTAGAGGTAGATGGAGAGGGGAGTCACATTGTCGTGTGAAGTGTCTGAAGACGTTGCCTCAATTTCTGTTGTATATGATGTTTAGTCTGTCTTTGTTCTTGTTTCCTTCGGTCTGCATATTGATCCCACCAAGAATCGAACCCAAATTTCCCAGCCCTAGCAGCTAGAGCTTAACTTTTAGCTCATTGAGTCGAGACTCAGTGTTCTAAACATCAAACTTTAATCTGTTATCTGCATTATGTAACCATATTCTAATGCCACTGATGGACAACTATCTCACATCTGAATTTCATTGATCACAGCTTTTACTGAAACTACAAGAATAATCTCAGAATTTTGTTACTAATGTGTACATTATTACTATTACTAAAGACGGTTTGCGAAGATTTCGACTAATATGAACTAAATTGATAACATAAAAAGAAACATCTTTTTGACTAACCACTTAATTTAGTTTAATAGTCATTCATGTCACTTTCCTATACATTTATAAATTTACAAGAATGAACAAGTCTATCAAAAGTAAATTATTTGTTAAATCAACTAAGCTTTATATGTACATATCAACAAAAGACAACGTTGTGTTACTTACAAAATCTGGTTTATAAGTATTCCATAGATATGGTAGTTTCTTCGGTTGTGTCAAGATATTTTTCAATGCTACCACAATTATAGCAGATAAAATACACTGGAAACAAAAGTAAAATTATGAATAATGACCAATGCTTTTTTTATAGTTTATTTAGGTGTTTACTTTTTGTTTTTAAGTATACAATACCTCAGTGACCAGTTTCTCATAGGATAACTGATGTCGAAATATTGTAGAAATCTCCAGTGCAACAACAGTTTAGACAATGACTAGCAGTGGAATCTAAAAATCTGAATTTCGTATCATTTGGGGTACATGAGATTGTTTTACGGGAATCTCAATGTGCATGTTCCTATAGAGTTTTAAGCATTGTAAAATTCACTTTAAATGCCAATGAGTTATGCACTACGCAGTAGAATCACGATACTCATCGGATTATTTAGTGAATATTATATTTCAATATTCATCAAGGCACTGCTTTCATACAAGTACATACGACTGACAAGTCTCAAATAAAAAAACGAATTTTTCTGGATTCCACTGTCACAATACAAAACCTTTTTTTACTGAGTTGAATACATTATTGAAATAATCAGTATTTAGTCCCAACTGTTTCTTGGAGATAAATATTTCAGTCTACTTGCAATAATGTAAATCGATGAAGTGTGAAGTTGACTAATGTGAAAGTCAAAATTGAGGTATCCCATTCGTGTAAAAAGTAACTTATTATCAAACATCTCATGTAATAACTATTGTTCTGTTCGTGTGTTATGAAACATTTATGCTATAAGCAAATAATATATGTATACACTGTGATATTTTATAGATAACAACAACAAACCTTTCAAGATTATTCATGTTTCATAAGTAATTTACTACTTTGATAAAATATCCCAAAGAATTTCGAATTGAATTTAATGAATTGTATCTATGAAATAGATTATCCTCTGGAAAACTCTTCGAAAATGAACAATTCTCAATAATTTAATTATTGTATATTTTTTAAGATAAGCTATGAAATGATTGATAAGTCTGAATATCGCATAAAAATTCTCATATTAAAAGACAGATGGATAAATGAAGTATATGCTTTGCAATAATTTTTATTCGAGTTCTATAATTATATATCCAAATTAATAATCCATAAAATTGGCCAGGTTTAAGGCAAAGGGCATCATTTAAAATTATAGAATATGAATTTAGGATTGTTTTTAACATAAAATAAATTTAAAATGAAATCGTCAGACATCACATCTAGTTCCGACCTCCGGTCAAGAACTTGAACGTTTTGAAATCAAATCTGGTTGACTGCTGCTATCAGTTTAAGAACAGTAGATATAACCACAGAAGCATTTTAACTAAAAAACGTGATGCTATTAATGAATTTATTCATGACAGAAATCTGTTTATTACGAAACCTGTTAAAGGAAGGGGAACTATCTTACTTAACAAAAAGACTATATTGACAAGATGAAAAACATCATGACTAATCATCTAAAATCCCAGAAACCGAACTACTGAAAAGATCTCAGTGATATGACAGAGACTGAACTGATTACATTTTTAAAAAGTCTCAGAGTACAACAAGTAATTCCGCCAAACGTATGCGAAATAATTAAGCCGATATGTAACCATTTACTTAAGTTATATGAACTACTAAGGGTACACAAGACCAATTTTGGATATGTACACTTATTCATAACATAATGTAGCAAAGTGGTTAGTAATCAATCACTCCACAAACACCTAGTGAAGCATAGTATTAAGGATGTATTCCAGTTCGTCTACAAGGCCGAAAACATAAACTAAAGGATAAACAATGATGTCCTTAGACTTAACGTCATTGTCTACAAACGTCTCACTCAGGGAGACTGTAGAATATATCTATGAACGACTTAGAGAACAAAGAGTACAGACTGCAATCGCTGTGGAGATAATCAAGCAATTTTTGCTAAAAATGTAAACTTTAAATTCAAAATATGTAGACAAATGGGTGATTCCACGATGAGTTCACCACTGGGTCCCATATTAGCTGACATTCTTCTCACCAAACTACAAAACGGTTCACTGGCACAGCAAACTGGAAAGTTTTCATTTTATTGCTGATATATGGACGATGCATTCATCCTTTTTAACAACCATACCGACCTGATGGAAACACTCGAGTGATTTAATGTTTATCCGTTTATAATGTGGGAGAGAACAAACCAGATCAGGACGAAGCGCTGGAAGTGGATAGGACACACATTGAGGAAAGCACCCAACTGCGTCACAAGACAAGCCCTCACATGGAATCCTCAAGGCCAAAGGAAAAGAAGAAGACCAAAGAACACATTACGCCGAGAAATGGAAATAGACATGAGAAAAATGAACAAGAATTGGATGGAACTAGGAAAGAAGGCCCAGGACAGAGTGGGTTGGAGAATGCTGGTCAGCGGCCTATGCTCCATTGGGAGTAACAGGCGTAAGTAATTAAGTAAGTAAGTAAGTATCCGTTTATAAAATTCACATGTGAGGAGGAAAATAGAGGCAGAATAGTCTCTCTAGACGTTCTACTTACAAGGAGAATAGATGGGTCACCAAGAACAAACTTAAACAAGAAAACTACTTGGACTGGTCAATAAACAAATTTTCTTAGTTTTATCCCTTTACAATAAAAAATCAAGCTGATTAAGATACTCCATTACAGAATCAAGACCATATGCTTCCTAGATGCAGTTGAAGAGGAAACAAAGGCATTGTGTACTACCTTGAAAGAAAATAAATAAACATTTAGCCGAGAAAAGAGAGCATAAGGATTCCCTAACTGTGAGCAAAAAGTCACTGTATATGCGCTTACAATTTAGAGGCAATTCATCCAGCAAAATGCTAATACTAAAGTTGTACAGTGTAATACAAAGCCTTTTAATGCAGGTAAACTACAACTTTTTTTCTACACATCCGATGATCACTTTGAGATTGAAATATAAATTACCTAAACTAGCTATTTCTTCCTGTATCTGTCAATTCAACTGCTCTTGTGTAGCGAGTTATATTGGCAGGTGTTCTAGGAATTTGTATTTTTATGGTAAAAACGGGCTATACAGCCAACATGGAGCAATCGTTCACAATAACATATCGTGTTACTGGAAAGCTGCCTAAATTCGTCAGAGTGAGATTCTTTCAGACAGCTGAAGCAATTGCTATTCGGATCAAAACGCCGGAGCTTTGCGTCCGGGAGAAATATTTCCAACCGCTCCTTTTACTCTGGCCAAATTCTGACCTAATTACTTGATCATGTTTATGATGTGGTGAACTAATTCTATTAATGTTCATTTTCATAGCATAAACTTATCATTGTTATTATTATTATAACACCTGCCAATGTTTTTGCGAGATTTACTCTGCATCCACCCCATATCTACTAATCCTTGCCTAATTCGTATCATTTTACCTATTACGTAATTTTTGATTTGTAATTACATTATTCTCTCTCTCTCTGTCATATCCCATGTTAACCATATTTATTCTGATCATCATTTATCTCACAATTTTACTTGACTGATTCAAGATAACACTTCATATTAGTCACTCAAACATTAACGACTTTATTTTATAACAGAAGGGGGTTTTGTGGAGATTTTAGTAATTTAATAGTTGAATTGATGAGTCAATCAAAGCTAGACATTAACACCGTTGGATACCGACTTAGTGGTGTAGAGGTTAAGCGTTCGCGCACGAAACCGACAGGTCCTGTGCGCACTGCTGAGGAGGCCCATACTGGGACGAAACAGTGTTCCAGGTCTTCCATGGTGGTCTAGCTTCGACTGACTACTATATTTTATATGACATACAATCCTTGATTCACATTCTATAATAAAACCAAACGGCGGTCCAGTGCTCCAGGTTTTCCATGGTGGTCTAACACCGATCGATTTACGGTCTCAATCGAAAACTCAAATGATGTACTTTGCCTTAAACCTGGCCAATTTTATGGATCATTAATTTGGATATATAATTATAGAATCTGAATAGAAATTATTGTAAAGAATATTCTTCGCTCATATACCTGTGTTCTAAATCGGAATATTTTAGTCTTTTCATGGTGATGGCCAGGTAACTGGTGTTTGATTACAAATAAGATTCAAATGGTACACTTAATTGGGTTATCTAGTGTTCAATGATACAGTGATGTTCTCGTGACTTACTGGTTGCCCGATCTATCGAGGCTGACCATTGGTTTTTTATGACATTCAGTGCTAGGGTTGAGTAAATAAAACAATGTCATACAAGTCGTACGATTCGAATTAACTAGTTTGTACGTAAATGATCAATTTTGATTCCTCAAGTTATTTGATCGGTTTATCAGTGGGTGGTTTTTTCTTCTGAAATCGGTTTAGTTGACACTTACCGATCAAGTGTTTATGCACACACTATCATCTCACACACCTAAGTCACCCGACTTATTTTATAAATCACTTAATCTGTTATAAAAACGAAACTTGTTGTTTTGATAATCCTTAATGGGAAATCTATGGAAGTGATTTGATTCATAAATACTACCATCCAAACTTACTTTATGAAGCCTAATAACCCATGAAATTCTCTTTCACTCTTTGTCAGATAATGCGAAACTAAGAACCGATTACTAAGATTTATGGGTCAGTGTACTTTGTACTACTAAAGAAACTGAGTAGGACATCCAAACAAATGCAATAGCCCACAATTTACTGTTGAGAGTTGGTCCTTAAGTATTCCATCAACAAACCAACAAAATGTGTTTTTTTTAAGAGTTAAGCTGAACATTCGCGAATACATAAAGCAGAGTTGATCTGTTATCATATGTATACAAATAATAGCTTTCAGATAAACAACCACTGAAAATCAGGAAGTAGTTGATAGCTGTTTCATTATAGTATGTAAATCCTCATTAGTGCTCACCCAAGAACCGACTTATGGCAAACGCTTCAAATGGCTGATCTATCTGACTTCAATCAATTTACAAAAAGAGTCCCGGATTTTTAGTGCCCAGTGGAGTTCAGAAGAGTTGGATGTAATGCAGTTACTCACTAAAGACAATAGAAAGTAGTTGCTCAATATTATGAACATATTGAAGTAAGACACATTCATCACTGAGTGCAGATTTAGTAGTATAAAGGCTAGGCTGCTGAAGGTCCCGGATTCGTCTCTTTGTGGTAGGATCATGATTGTTCACTGCCGAAGAGTAAAATACCAAGACGAAACGGCTGTTAGGTGCATCCAGGCTTTTATTATTTATTTAACTTAGGCTGTTTCTTGATCATAATGACATTCAATAATCTTCAAAATTTCCGTACTGGTTAGAACCATAGTGATGTCAACATTTTTAAGCTACATGGTAAAGTGTCTGTAATATTTAAGGCATTACTATTAACAAAGTACATGCTAAATACTCGAACTCACTGATGGTGTTGCTTCAAAATACGGGCCCAAAAATAACAGTACAAATACAATCAACATTGAACTAAATATACCTGATAGCTGCAAAATAAAAGTAAGTAGATATTTACAGTTAAATTATCCTGAAGAGTATGATCTAAATTTGAAATGTTATTCGAAATACTCCACTCATTACGTTGCTACCATTAGTATTAGACATAAAAATAAATTCTCTAATAAAAGTCAATTCTTTGAATAAAAGACGTATAAATTAATAAACTTATTTAGTAAACCTACTGATGACGGAGCATATATGTCAAAAAGCATTATACTTGAATTTTGAAATAAACTTTCAATGACGAGTGGTTGACGAAAACCTGTAGTAAATCTTGGACAATAATATTAAACTAATTGATACTAGTCATTATTGCATATCTGCAGTTTTAAGAGATCTTATATTGTCTTTTGGATTTATAACGGTATCATTAAATCTCCAGGCCAGAGACGCCACCAATGTGTTAGTAAGGCTTCAACTGAACTCATAAAAGATGTTTACACTGATCAGTCTTAGTTGGCTGTAGGTAATCAACAGGAAATCCAAGACCTTAGTTTAGTATTATTGACACTTGTCAGTAAGGCATACTCGCAGTCATGAAGGAACTGATGCTCCCTGTGAGATACAAACACACGTCATTTGGATTCACAGTTTGAGACCTACCATTGAGCTTCTATGGCAGTGACTGATCCCCTAAATAAATTGTCCATTAATAATTCATTTAGTAATCGATAACTTCATGTTTTGTGATTTCTAATTCAGATCAAATTATATGCGTCTAGTTAAAGTATGGGCACTTTGCTAAATAATATAATATCACATTGCAGTTTGTCCAATAGTTGATCTTATCATCTTTTATATGTTAACCATGTAACTCCGTTTGAGGTCTTGATGAAATAAGATTTGTTTTAAAAAAAATTTCCTGCATTACTAAAACAATCAGACTAAAATACAAACAGACAAATGGAAAAATTAAAAAAAAACATGTTTTGTGGTCACGTTTTATGAGAAAAGAGAGAAAAGAAGATAATGATAATGTAGAATGATGGAAAATGAATGAATGAATTACTCACCGGTGTTCTGGTTTTTGTTCCCGCTAATACCATACTACGAGAAAGACTACCAGATTGGACGAAACAAGAGAAAAATGATGTGAATGTATTTATAATACCGAGTGATAAGATTTCCTGAAAGGGAAAAATTATATATATTCGAAGAAATTACAAACCAAGCGTGTATAGGTAGGCGACTTAACCAGACAATCTAACGACTTATTATTATCTCGTCACGAATATGCGAACATGATGATAATAAAAATCTATGGTATAATTAGGTAAGATAACTGTTATGAAATTATCAAACCGCTATTTTAACTAGACTAATAGGGATTCGTAGAGTAGTAAAATATCCTATTAAAATGTAACAGGAGAGGTTAAGTAAATAAGTAATTGAATGTAATGTGAAGGTAAGGTCTACAACTATTGGTTATGATGATCACAAGTTGTCTATGCCTACCTATGCGGCTTAACTCAACAGTATGAGAATTCATGGGCCAATGACATGTCTTGTTTTGGTGCTTTACATATAAGGAAAATTACAAGTTCTCATCTGAATCATTGTGATACTTAAATTGCTCGAATACAAACAATATTAAATATACGACCAGTAATTACGTAGTTTGTTTGACAAATGATGTCCTTAAAATAAATCTCTATACCTTTTCAGCTTCAATTTCCAAACTTATTGATCAGATAGTATAAAAATTGTTCCGGAAACTACCTGTTATTGTTCAAATTTAAGTTTATTTAATACTGATAAGTTTCACAGGAGGCTTGGTGTTGTTTCTAAAACTAATAAATAAATTTTTGGTAAACGTTAGTATTTTCCCGTTGTTGATGTGATGTATCGAAACTGATCAGCCTCTACATGTTTATGTGCATCCCAAGAGGATTGCTTTGATATTATCATATATTCACAGGATTTTATAAAAGCTAGTTAATAGCTAGGATCGGGATCCGGGATTCACGTTTATCTCATTCGGTACGCGTCAGGTGGACGTACCTGATTTCACTATGTTGTCTACTCGTAATTGCTCAGTTTTGAAGTGCGTCTCTATCACAGACTAACATTCTGTTGTGAGAAACTCTTGAAAATTAGTGAATAAGCCAGTATTTAATTACATTTAAAATTGAAAACTTTAAAACAAGAATGAAACAGTTGTCTAGTGTTTTCTTGTGTAGAAAGCTAAACAATCAAATGAAAATTAGGCATTGATTAGTGAATAAATCAAGAGACGTACAAAACGAATTAAGTAGAGAGATTCTACTAAAAATATAGTAAATCCAGTCAATAATACAGATGAAAATAAGATCAATAGTCATCGAAATACAAATCAGTGACTGAGGAATCATGGTTTGACAGTTATTCAATTCTTATCTGAAAGACATCTAAAAATCCCAACGTTAACGTAGTTGTACACTTGGAAAGAAAAACATATAGATACATGTAACTATGTGTAAAGTCACATATTCTTTATACTATATTTTGACTTACGTGATTAAAATTAACTTTATTTCTGTACTTTAAAGAGAATAATTTAACTAAGGAAACCGACAGGAACGTACTAACAAATCCAATTAAAATAGCATCTGGAAGTAAATCTGGAATTATGCTCCAATGGGGTACTGTCACCTGTGGCATTCTGTCAGTTGGGAGAGGGAGGAAATGAAAAACAATACATAAGCGCACTATATTGTAGCAGATGAATACACTATATAAATTTTAAATGATCATAAGAACAAATTTGTAATGATCAAATTGAACTGTTAGTGTGATGTAATTCGGGAGTGATTGGAAACAAGGGAACGTTGAACAGTTGTTTCACTCCTGTATGAGATTCCTCAGAAGTACGAGGAGTCATCAGAATACTACTTAAAAAAATCGACTGAACTTCAAAGATATCTCAACCACTTAATAACCTAACGATCACTGGTTACTAGTTTCATGATGAAATCCTCGAATTGTAGTGGGGTAGTCATGACCGAATGAGTCTAATCATCTAGGGGATAGGACTATAATCACACTTAGTATTAAATAAGCATTAAGCTAAAATGTCAATCGATTGTAAGTTAAAACATATCGCATTGGTTATGAACTTAATCGTTTAAGCGTATTGTTTTCAACGTTAGATATAAAGTTCTTTCATTCTACTAATGGAGGTGTCTTAACAAGACTCTACCCAGGAGTCCCATACTAGGACAAAAGAGTTGTAAAGTGACTTATGGTTTTAAGTACAGCCTAAACTGATGTCCATCAATGGTTAATACCTTTAACAAGTTTGCACATCTGCACGAGTATATGTATAATTTGTAATATTAATTTTTCTTTAAATTACCTTTATGGTTAGTATTGTTAATTTAGAATAAGTAATATTTCAGTGTTATCATTCTGATATTCTACTGCTACCTATATCTCACTTTGGTGAATACCTTCATTTCCATACACAGAAATAATCGCAGCAATGTTCAGTCGACTATACAGAACTTAAAGTTTAAAATTCTTCACTAAGTATTTGATCAACATCATGATTAGACTTAACAGAGAGAACAGTGGATTTAGATTTTTGAGGGACTCGAGTTATTCCAAAATGTTTTCCTTACCAAGTAAATAAACAATTTCACTGGTTGTTCCTTCCATATATATATATATATATATATATATATATATATATATATATATATATATATATATATATATATATATATATATATATATATATATATTGCGTTCATTGAACTGTATGGTTTGATCATGAAGCAATTTTTTTTTTCTAAATTTCATCAATTGCAAATCAGTTATATAACTCATTAATTATTAAAACATTCATTTTTCGGGAAATCGACCTTAGTTTGAAGATTTCAACATACCAAGAGTAATCCAATTCATGAGCGTGTATCTTAATTAGAATACCTTGAGACATAGTAGTATGTAAAATTACGTATCAAGCCTTAAGTGATATGAATTTCTTTTAAATTGCCATATATCTGTTGGTTACACAAATTCGTAGGTCTGGAGGAGTACAAAACTAATTAAACACTGAATATAACTAATTTCATTTAAATCCCTATTGTAAATCAGAAGTACTTTTCCGTCTGAAATGGTATATAGTGAAATTATTTCCGTATCTTTATTTGTATTTCACTCTGATGATAATAAAAACACACTGAAATCAGTAAGCTACATCATAGTTTAAGTATTTTCTTTTCATACTCTTCCAAGTCTCTTAACTTCATTTACTAACCATATAGTAGTGAGCCACATTCAGTGTTTCAGAATTGTGTATTGAAGAGTATATAATTTTGTTAACCTTATTATTGTGTCATCTACTCAGTATAATGTTACTTTTTGCACGTCTAAAGAAACAGTTTCCAACCGTTTTAATACGGATTATGAACGCTATTAACAGGGTGTATATAACCTATATAATGACCGTTATGTATTTAATAGAGTTTTACGAACCCTCATAGTTGTTTTATTATGGGCATTGAATCCATTTATATAACTCCAGAAGTTTTTATTTTCATATTTAAATCAATCTATGGAGTTAGTCGAAAATGAATGAAAATATTTCAAAATACAAAATCTCTTGTAGATTTATTATTGAATACATTCAACCATGTACTTACCCGCTCGCAATATATCCTACAATTGAAACATTCTTAGTAGAGTGTAAATTTAATGTACCAGAAATTATAGTGCCTAAAGCAACCTAATATGAGAGGTGAAAAGGAATTGTGATTAGATTGCTTTGAAAGAAAACAGTAAACTAGCAAGCGATTGAGTAATAAATGTCGTTAATCAAAGTACATTGTACAAGAATATTTCAGCGTACATCTAGTTTACTGGAGTTTAGACAATCATCATCGTTCTCATTAGTTTAAAATAGTCCAGTTCATGTTCTAAGATTCATAATTGAAATTGAAATTTTTCTCAAAGATCTCAACGTCAGCTATATTTAAGTGATACAAAATTATCTCGATTATTTGCCACTTTTCGGATAATTAAAAAACTTTACGATGAGCTAGTAGTGGTTTTTAGTTTAAAGTATCTCTGGATCAAGTATTTATTACTTGCTTGCACTTACTTTCAGCTAATTAAGTCATTAGCAGATACATAAATTGAACATTGAATACCAAAGTGAAAGTTGATTTTCTCTTATGTAAATGGTCATCTTTTCAACTTAAATACAGTTTTTTTCTGGAATAAAAATTAACTAAGGAAACAATAAAATTGCATATTCTTCCCCATTACTAAAGACCTCCTATCCTCCTACAATCTTAAACTAAATTGAATCCCAGTACCTCGAAGTGTTGAGAAGAGGAGTCGAAATGAGATTAAAAAACACGGAAAACTACTTTTGGAAAAGTTATTTACGTTTTCAGTGTATTTTTATTTAAATTATGGTTCATATTTATTGCAGTAAGTACACGACCACCAAGACCGCTACATTGTTTTTCACAGCATAATTTCGATCTTAATTAATTTGGTATATAGTGCAATGTTAGTCCAATAATATCGATGACAATCATTTCACTCTTGAGATATCAGAATCCCACTGGTCAAAATTTCTCACTGGGACTTTAAGAACATCTTGAATTGAATCGACTATCATTGTTTGAGTGGAGCGGCCTCATAGAGACTGATTTAATTTGTGTATTGTATGAGTTACAGGACTTTATTATTGGTGTGGGTAAAATTTACAACTTCAGATCCATATTTTCAATCTTTCGCATTACTTCGAGGAGAAAAACGTTACAATACTTAAAATAGGTGGCAAACACCTTTATCCTTTTGGGTATTTCATCATATTTTTATGGAATTCGAGAAAAGTAATCCTCATGAGTTATGATTACTCATTTGTATGGAGTAAGTAGTAAATTAATACTCTTCAAAAGTCTATTTTGTAATAAGTTACACAGTTTAAACAGAAACCAGATGACTATGGTCGTTGGATACTGTTAATAATCATGAGTGTGAATGATAATTTACTTTGAGGTACCTATGGGTCTATTTTTTTTCTCTGTTTTTATATACAATACACTTGACTCTTTTATAGTGTGCCTTTCTTAAAATTGACCTTTACGCACTGTTGATATATGAAGGAACCTGTGAGATACAATTCTATAGATCAATACAAAACAGTGTTGTCTAGATCTATAGTAAGGATTTCACAACTGAAATATCTGTCTCACAGTACACAACACAGTTAAACGTTCCAAATTTGTTTGAACGCAATAAAATGGTAATTAATTTGATTTTAAAAATGACAAACATTTACCAAAATCAATTCACTAGGTATTGGAATCTTCAAATCTATATATTGTTTCAGTAGGGGTTCAGCACAAAATTTAATAATCATTAAGAACGCAATCGATGCAGCAGATATAAGTAGTGTGAACAAATTTGTCTCACGTATATTTTTGAACAAATTCACATAGACCTGGAATAGTAAACAATATATGTGTACATTCGATGATATATTAAACAGAGAATCAATTTACTAAATGTATCAAAGCAAGCATTTATTTTGAGTTTAAGACTCAGTTGTGAACTCAACCTGTTACGTTCAATCAGTTGTATACATCTCAGTCCTACAGGGTCACTCATCGCTTGAATAAATCAGTGTTTATGTCTCAAACTGTGATGTTAAGTGATGCGGGTTCGAGTACTACAGAAAACATTAATTCCCTTAAGATTGTAAGCATGTCTTACTGATGAGTCCTAACTAGCACTAAATCTATATTCATAGTCCCCTAGCGACTACCTCCGATTACTTAACAACTGAGTTGGATAGAAATATTTGATATTAATACATTATGATGACAATCATAAATGACATTTCTCTGAGACTAATTAAAAATTTGATTCTTAAATCAAATACACTTGTTACCAAATCATTCCCGTATAACATTAAAATAGCAGCATCGAAAAACTGTTGAGACTAATTAAATATAGTGTAAAATACTTTAGAATGTATAACTATTAAAATACTGATCGATAAAGAAAGATAATAAACACCCTATATTTCAAATAAAACTGAGTTTTGGAGTTGCTAAATCCTTAAATATAAAATAATAGAAAAATGCAAATTGATCAGATTATTTGAAGTGAGTTCCATTTAGTTCTTTCAGTATTAATTATTTCAACGGGTATTTTTTTCGGTGTTTAATGCATTTCCGTTGCTTCATTCAGTGTGATTTTTCATCCAAGTAATAGTTGATCAACATGGGGAATTCTTTAACTAACAATCACTGAATGTAATTACTAAATAACTTAACGAATTCGAGTGTGAATTGATTTTCATTAGTTCAATATCTCAAATAAATCTTTCTTACAAGATTTATGTTTTGGAGTGACAGAGGTTAGGAGATAAGTGAGCTTGATGTTAATATCGTATTGTAATTAAAGTTATCACTGTTTTTGTCAATATATCAGGAAGTCATAGAATTCACAGAATTAGTAAGTGTATGGCAGCATGTTAGCAGCATAACCTATTGACTTTAAGCTTGATTCTGTATGAAATCATAAGTAGATACTATTGAGAATAAAACAACTGTTCAGTTCTTGATAAGTTTTCAAAGATCCATCAACTGTTGTCAACCAGTTATAAAATCTAATTTTAATAAACTACGCGTAAACAGCATAAAACCTGAGGCAATTTTTTACGTTAACTAATAACGTAAAGTAAGGTTTAATGAAGACAACCACTTGTTTCGTGATAAGATATGCTATTTGGATAGCCATTTCTGTTAAATGTAAATGACATTTTGATCATACAATATTCACCGTTGATTTCGAGAGTAAACTGACGATTCATTCACCTTAAACTTGAATTTCTTCAAGTCTCTCAGTGATCATGATACATTGTAATCATTGAACATAAATACAGTAATCTGTATTTCTAGCTTTAACTTATTTTATGATGAAACAGCTGTTCCAGTGCTTCATAACATTTCCTCTCTCTATCCATCTTTTTACGAATAATCCGGTTATCATTATGATTTTCTAATTATGGTTCATTATGTTCTTGTAATTGGCGTACATTAGCATACAGGCTACAGATTGTAATAATCAGAAGTAGATCGGTTTTCTGTTCACGTATTCCGATTGTGCACTATGGATAAAGGAATATGAGTGGACCAATACACCTTATGATATCCGATCATCATCGATGGTCAGTGATGTTGTCGGATAAGCGATCATTAATATAATTGACTTAAAATAAATTTATCATCGGTGAACTCTATAGTCTAATAATCTAATCAAGTAGGGATATAGAAGCTGAATTCATAACATCACATGTAGTCAGTCTTTAATGTTTGCTATCTTCGGTAAAACATGAGAGTACTTTTACATTTGGTGAAATAGTTTCAGCTTCACATAAAAGACAGTTAATTTAACACAAATGAGTTACAGAAATTCTATATTCATTATTTCAAAATGTGAATTTGCTTGGATTTCAGTGAAAGCATATTCTATTTTTTATTAAACATTTCTACCGACAATCGTTCTAATCATGACTGAGGTAGTCATTCACCATAATTAACATTATGATACTTTAGACCCAGAAATGATGTTGATGTGCGATGAAAATTTTTTTCATTTGAGAAAAATTTGTTTGTGCGTGTTGATACAAAACATTCACCAGGTTCGTTTCATTTTGGTTAAATAAAGAGCAGCTGGCAGGTAACAAAATAAAAAGATTACGCACTTGCATAACACGATCTGGGGTTATCGCTAACATTTCCACTGTTTAGTTTTGGTTCTTTCTCAGTTCATTTAGTGGACGAGTACTACATTTCAATGTAACTCATTAAAAACTTTATTTTAAACAGGTGGAGTTGTCTTCAGCTATTTTCCATGAACATATTCCGTATAGAACAATCCAACGTATCGGATGGAAACTACAAATATAGTGAAAGCGAAGGCTTGGGATGAACTTTTCAACAAAAATGACCCTAATACACAACACTTACTTAATAAGTGAGCGGAAAAGTAACTGAAAGTGTGATGCATAACACATATTGTGACATTGAACATATTGAGAATAACCCTAGTCCATAGTATGTTACCTTAGGTATTTAAAAAGTATCTTAATAAAAGCAATCAAATAAAGAGTAAAAACTCCAAAACAAATAGTAGTTGCAATAAAAATGATTTCTACGGACTTTGTATGACATTATGGATTCATAATCCTAGAGAGTTTCAAGGTAAAGAATCTGCTGTCCAGTATTTCCTGACTTCCAGTAACTTCATAGGAAAGTTGAAGAGTTTTTAGAGTATGGAATATTAAAAAGAAGAAAGGCCGCTATATATTGCTATAAAAAGTATTCGATTCATTCTCAAGTTTTGGGCTACAGATTGTAGCCTAATTCTGATTTCTTGATTTAAAATCAACTTGTAGTCATGATAAAAAGTTCTCAGTTCAACTGTCTTTATTGACAAGAAAATAGTAGTCAGGCAAAAAGATAAAAGAAAAGTATGACCGATGTTATGTAATAAGTTCATAAAATTCATAAGTAAAACGAAAAGAGTGAAATTTTCTTAAGTCTAATCTTTTTTTCAATCTGATTACTAGATCTTGTTTATAAATGTTAACATCATCCACCCTACAAGTTTTATGTTATCTCGAACCCACATGATTTGGTATTATGGCAAGCTTTCCATCTCCCATACAAATCGAATTATAAAGATCTATCATAAACAGTCATATGTACTACAAGTTATCACACTTTCCTGCTCACTATGTATGGTGCTGGCTTAAATCAGGTGTATTCATACGATTTGAAGTTAAAACCTGTCTACTTGAATGAGGAATCGCTAAGCTTATTACCTGAAATTGTTCAAACAAACGGCTTAGAGACATTCTTCGACAGCGGAAAGCTGTTTGAAATATGCATGAAACCCAACTAACAATTTTGACTGATGTCACCACTATCCTGGAAAGAGTTATATGGTGTGATTTTCGAACAGTTAACTGATGATTAGTAATTAATGTGACCTCACTTCCAGCATTCCAGCATTATAGGTAATGTGACGAAAGCTCTAACTAGAATTTCTAACGGTTACTTTTAACCTCAAGTCTTATTCTTAATTCTTTACACTACTTGATAATGTCATTATGCCTTAATAGGTGGTTGGAGTATCTCAAGGTGATTTTCGAATCACTCAAATGTTGTCGGGAAGTTCTAGTCTTGCAGCCGGTGACCTTAAGATATTAGCCTTTAAATGAACATCGACATATATGAAGCGTGTAGATAACCCAATTTGATTATATATATATATATATATATATATATATATATATATATATATATATAACAATCGGTACTGATAATGTTTAAATTAATTACAAGAAATGACCGTAAAGGTGACAAGATAAACAGTTTTAAAACCAGTTGTTTTCACCTATGGAAACAATTATGTTTAGTCTAATTAAAAAGAGTGGAATTAACAAATTACAGAATAGTCCATGCAGATGACCCTAGAAATCAATTTGCTAATTAATAAACATCTACGTGAATATACTCGAAACATATTTATACTTGTTTTGAAGTTTATACAAAAATCAATTAGCTCTTTACTACAAACAATCAAATAAACTAATTCAATAAATAGACGTAGTAATTTATATATAGCCATAGACTATTTGTAGGTCATATTTTGTAATGTGCTTATAAGAAACTTAATCAAAATAACAATTTCAAACAAATAACAGAATTTTATTTTTGAAGATTATTGAGACTGGTTTAATTTGTTGAAGGGGTCTTATCACATAAGATAGATTCCATTAGTGATCAATTTTGAGATAGGCTTTTAAGTTTATAGTGAAAAATCGTAATTTCTCGAGTCTATTTATGAAGACCTAGTGAAAATAAAGATATCTAACTAGACAGGTATGATAGTATAACTATTTTTTCAGTAAACATCTATGTAATATATGTATTTGATAAATACCAAACATTTATAAACATTTCACAAGTGGTCACATTTACAATGTTAAATCTCTTCCTAATCATATAAAACATATTTCTGACAATTAATTGAAGGGTTTTAGCATAACAGCAAGAGAATTAATTAATAAAATTTATTATCATATTGAACTATGAATGAAATAAACGTATGTTAACACAAAGAAATCTGGCTTAGAAATTATTGATGAGTCTCTATAGTAGGACAGATATACAGTCAAATGTAACCCATTCTAGTGCCCTCGGAATATCGGACTCCAATTTGATCGTTTAATTATTGTTATCGGCTTGTACATGTTGCCAATCCTCGCATATAATTATCGACTTAACTCGCGTTAGTGAATAACGGAATTAAATAAGTCAAATAGGAGAATGGATTTTGAATGCGTATATTTCATACAATCGTTGGTGTGAAAAGACAATTGAGGATTCGTAGCGAAGAAAGCGAAGAGGAGAAAGAGAGAAAAGAGAAACCAAATGACGCGCAGTGGAGAAGGAGAGTGAGCCAACTCGATTTAACTAAGTGTGACTCAATATTTATAGTTAAACAAAAATAAGTTACAGACGCATGGTGGATAAGGTAAGTAATTAGCAGGCATACGATCATATAAAAGACAATCAACATTAGCAAACAAATAAATGACAGGGTAAAAATATGGCTTGAAAAGAATAGATAGATCGGTCTGTCCAGAGGCTAGAATAACCTATGTGGGTTTGACATGGTTCCAGCCTCTACACCATAATACTCAAATTTAGTGGACTGCATTTTTCAAATCTGATCACTATATGTACTCAATCAAACCACATGTGTATATAAAGATATTATGGTCTGATATTAGTGAAAACCAGGAAGCACTAGAGTTTAACCATGTTCGGTATCAGGAAGTCACTCACTATTAGCATCGGAAGATAGGTGCCTAATATCGCGAATTGATTGAAGTTAGAAATAGGAATTACTAAATAGCGGCCCAGTGACTTAAGTTTTAAGCACTTATTGAAACATTTGAAGGTCCTGGACTCGATCCCAAATGGGGTCGTGGTGTAGACAGGTAGACACAAAAGAGCTATCCAACGCTTCTTAGATTATAATAGTTGTCTAGTAAGGATCGGTTAGTAGTCTAAGGTATGAAGAAGCTTTAGCAGAACATTTTGGAAAACAAATCAGAAATTTGAAGAAAACATACTTTAAATTCAGCTAAAGACTAAAGTAATTTGACGGAAAAACATTGGATCTAATTTTAAACACTGAAATCTATCACAAAGACACTACATAAAAGGTTTTTATTTTAATGAATCTTGGATGATTTATTCTTAAAACTTGTGAATATTTATAGCGTAGTTCAATAAATAAAATGTATTAGATAATTCACTCAGATCAGTTTTTTTGCATTCCCATCACAATACTTCTAAAAGCCTTTGTGATACACGGTAAAACCAAACGTTCCTGATATTTGGTTGTTTTCACCACGAACTGATGGTAACCGGCGAAGCTTTGGAAACCTGGATGTACTGAAGAGTTGATTTCATTTATTATTTATTTCAACACATAAATATTGGTACAAGAGGGCACCAAATATATATGCGCCACACCATATTTGTATGTGTGTGGGCTGTGATACTGCCCGGGTGCCTAAACCGAAGTACGTGGTTTTCTTAGGGGGCCACACCCGAGCCTTTGACCTAAAGGTCTGATCCACAAGGCAGTGAAGAAGCGTTAGTAGATGCAGTCCCATGGTAGCCGGTGACCAAAAATTGGTTCATACGCCATTTGTTCCCGCAGGTTTCTGGAGCCCATGTGCACCATTGATTTGGTTTGGGATCCGGTTAAAGCGCCGGACATTCGCTTTTCGTCCTCTCATTTTTGTAAACAACACCCCCGCCACGAGAAGGCAGTGAGTAGGACTTCCCTGTCAGAGGCTGTATACGCGTGGCCGTGTGAGAGCGTTTCGAGAGGGAGGGCGGGCTCACTCCACTCTGGGCCATACCAGGACATTTTGGGGCGAAGAGTTGATTTATCCTGGTTGAGACTCTTCAGCCCGACAAATATAATTTAATGACATGGTAAGAGTAAATGACAAATACATAGTTCCTCCATTGTCAAGGCAGGCCATAGGACTGATCTTTATCCATCCTTTATCGTTTTGCATAAAAGTTGTATAGGCTGAATATTCAAAATTTTTGAATCCTTAGCCAAACGCAAGTCCACCACCCCTTATGTTCAGAAACAATTTATACTCATACTAAAACTAACCTTGCAATACTGATTTAATATTCAAAATAATGTTATCTATATTTTATTTCACACTATTATTTCTTATGTTCCAATTTGTCTAGTTGACGTTTCTTTCTCGTACTCGAAAATTATAACAAATTATTGTATAATCAGTTTGTTTACAAAAGTCACAGTCGCTTCAGTCAATCAAGGCCCGTAGCTTCATCAACCAGCTTGCCATCTTTACTTTATAAAAAACGCTTAACCTTAGCACTAAACACTTGATTGTCCCATCATAAACGAGTAATGGTTAGGAAGCATCTATAACTAAACATCAATAGCTTACAAATGTCTTCTAAATTTTGAAGTAGAGATTTCGTTCTCCACTAACCTAACAGGTCTGATATTTAGAATTAGTGATCAACAATTTATACAACTCATATACTAAGTACGTAAATCTTAAGTAGTAAATACAAGAAATCGAATTAAATAATCAACCATTAATAGAAGGTCTAAATAAGCTAAAATTATGTCTGTCAAACAATTTGGTTTGTTACACTTCTGTCTATTATATAATAGGCATGAGATACTGTAAGGAATGTTAGACGATCATTAATTTAAATTTATCTAAGTAAACAGATTTTCAAGAAATAACGAATTCCACCGTGTATTTTTGTAAAAAATTGGGCTTTTATGTTAGCCCGACATTGACGTCTAATAACTTAGGCAGATGAGTGAATATTATCAGTTTATATGTAAAAGGTATAAAATCTGTCGCTCGGTTAGTTTATTTGTAATCCATCATTCATTTTTATCTTCTGTCTATTCCAAAAGGGCACAAATGAGTGTGTATCATTCAATTAACAATCCATTATTGCGAGACAATCGTTACTAGGATTATTACTATTATTGGTAAAATTATAATGTAGAGACAAACTTGAAATAGCCTCGATGAATTTGTAGCTAGTTTTAGCCACTCAACAAAACAGCTTTCGTAAATGAACAGTTTGTGGAAAAAAAATAATATTGAGAAGCGTAAACAGATCTCATATAATCAAAGAATCTATTAAAGTCCTCTACAGGTCACTGTGCCTTGAAATAAAAAAGTGATATAGATTTCGCCTTATGGATATATATTCTCCATCCTCTTGAACCTTTAAATGGACTTAAATAGATTTTGAGAGTCCATGCATCTAGGCTATTCAGGGTTAGGTATATATGGTTACGAATAGACGTTTAAGGTTAGTATTTACATTATGAACTAATGTCAGCTATAATCTAAAAGCACTCTGTAGTTATTCGGTTGCACGAACTTTCCTCGAAAATCCAAGAGGCGTTATCCGAATAGTTCGTCTAGAAAACATAGTGACACCAGATTAAGGTTTGTTTCAGAATTAATGGTTTAGGTTTAGAATTTAAGGACAGTGTCGCTTAAGAACCTAAAAGTTGTGTTCTCGAATCCGATTTCCTCGTTCCTCTATTGTACTCTTACTGTTCACATAATCAAACTATAAGACGGAGTCCACTGATTACGAGTACGCCTTACCCCTGCCTGGCTAATAACCTTTGCTCCAACCAATAACATGAATAATCGACAACAAAAGACTCTAAGCGAAGGCCTCAGAAATCCTTGTTCCTACTGGACCAAAGAAATCTAATCTTCAATAGTCAGTCAGGAGACGAACGCAGTAAGCCAATGAATTATTTATTATTGCTTATTTATAATGGCTCAAAAACCCACTGATTTATGAGCATGAACATACCGCACCACAAGTAACAAACCATAGATTTGCACACCATGTATACGTGATTTAAAACAAAACAATGAATAATGAATTATTAAACAATAATTCTTGACGAGCAAAACATATATCTAGCGTCCACACCTAATGGTCTGTAATGATTTAGAGAATTTTCATCATATGTGAGTAACAGTTGATATCATAAAATAAAACTGCTCAACTTCATTCATGATATGATCATCAATCTGATGATATAAATGACTCAAATTGCAAAGTTTGTTAACTAACCATAAAGAATGAACCAGGTCCTTGATATTTCTTTGCAGACTTTACACCGAACAATGAACAGATTTGACTGCTTAACACATGAAAACCTGCGCCCGATGTATAACCAGATACCATTGATGGCGCTAAATATGACGTAAATGTACCCAGTTGGCAAAAGCCAATAATAAGCTTTAAATGAAATGAAAACATCAAGTTTTATATGAAAAAAGAGGACAGTAAGATTAAAAACGAAAGAAAAATACACAGATTTAGTGTATTTTCAGTGAGATAGTTTAATAGATTTTCAAAAAGCTAATTTAAATGGATCGTTTCGGGGGAGATAACTTTGAGTTTTATTACCATAGTCGAAAATTAAATCACTAGATATTGTTAATCCTTATTGCCAATGTTCCTTCACGTTTATGTGTATGTCTACCCTGCCTCATTCTTAGTCTAAACACTTATAATTTTATATCACATGTATTTCTTACTCTGACAACATATCCCTTAGTATAGATTATATTCATATGAACTTATTATCATCAGGGTTGTATTTTACTTCAAATAACCAGACTAAACTTCGGCTGACATTACTGGCACGATTACTGAGATTCCTGACCCCTATTGATTAAGATTTAACGGTATGATTATAAATATTTAATAATAACTAATTGGTTAACATACGTTTCGGAATGTGTGCTCATGTAATTAGGAACACACTTTGTGTTTCCATTATAAATTCGCTAAATTGGGTGTCAATGGTGCATTACTGTAGTTTGATTAACTGAACTCCATTTAGCGTAAACTGTTTTAATTGGTTGTCAAAATTCTTATATTTAACCTTTGAAATTTTTTAAATCCGACAGTTTGACTGTTATGAAATATAGAATTTTAACTTAAGAGAAGAGTCACATCAATTCTATTCGAGTGAGACCTCTACATCTTAAGAGGAAATCATGAGAAGACGCTGGAGGTGGGTAGGACATACATTGAGGATATCATCAAACTGCACCACGAGACAAGCACTAACTTGAAATTCTGAAGGGGGACGGAAAAGAGAAAACCAAGGAACACACTGGTCAAGGAATCGGAGGCAAACATGTAGAGGTCTTCATAATACAATCGACCACCAAGAGATAGAGAAAGGGAAAAAGTAATCAGCCTTGTCTGGTACCGGTCTTCACTTGGAATCGACTGTCAACTAACCTGCATGCACGGCTTCTCAGTGTAGTCCGTCGTACGAATTCCGGATGATGGTGACGATCTTCTCAGGCACATCATAGTGTCGAACAAAGTTCCATAAGATTCTCCTACCCTCACTGTCAAATGGTTTTTCATAGTCAAAGAAGTTGATGTAAGGTGACGAGTTTCATTCAAATGATTGTTTACCAATAATCAGTAGTGTCACAATTCGGTCTGTTTATGACTCATCCTTACGAGACCCAACCCGAATATTTCAAAAACACTGTTAAAAACTTTTTCTAGTGCTGATGTAGTGAAGGAGAACACAGATGACGACAACCGAATTACAGAGTTACTTGGTACAATAGAAAAACCATACTATGATACCTAATTTGTAAAATGTTCAATAATTGTCTTGGACTTCATTGTTCTTGCATTTCTATACTAATTGCTATCTATTCCCGTTCTTCCTTTCTTGATCTTCCCAATCTTCAGCTGCCAGACATTAAATTCCTGACTCGCGTTATATACTACTTATGTCAATATAAGTAGCATGCACCACACTGACAGTAGTGTGATGCCACTGAAGTTCTCAGACTTGCTTTGGTATTTTGATGACGTATCGTTCTTTCCAGTCTGTCAGCATTTGCTCTTCTTTCCAAATCCCTCTAAATAGAGTGTGGAGCATGTTTGCAGTTACCTCTATGTGTGACTTGAGTGCTATCTTGAACTCAATGACATTCTTCAGTGATGCAAAAATGATCGATCTACTTCTCTATAGTGTGATCCAGGGAAACCTGTCTAGCTTTGTGCATACTCTGTTTTGAATGAAGATTTGATGATTGTGGATACATGAGATTACCATCCTATAAGCGCTCTACATGCTTCGTTCGATATCATCAGTACAACTCTCTGTGTGTGCGTAGCATCTTTCTCTTCTTCATGATCAGAGTACAACAGAAACTCTCCTGAATCTAATATTTGCTATCCAGATTTGTTCCAATCGATTTCACTTTTTCCATGCACCGTCAGGTTTTATCTTCTCATTTCTGCAGTTGTTTTATTGGTCATACAGGTCTCGCACATTATTCTGACATTGCAATTATCTATGTTAATTGCTGCTCTAGTTGTAGAAATAGGCATGGGCTTCATGATATCTGAAGAATCTCAGATTTCATCATATAGCTTCATAGCTCTTTTATATGAAGACCGTTTGACTCTGATGGCAAAGTTTAAGGGGCTTGAATGGGTTTTTCAGGTTAGCGTTATTCAGCAAGTTTGTTTTTATACTGGATGGGCTTAGTAACCTCATACTCAACCCTCCTCCAGTATCCGGGGTTGGAAACCTACATTAATTGGAGGAGAGCTCCAAGCGGAGTTATTTATATATTGAAAATAAATACGGAAATCACTGTTATGTAAATACTTTTCCAAACGTTCGACTATGTATTTTATTCACATGTTTCATTCAATTGTATTATGACTCGAAAACTCGCGACATATTTTCTTGCCCTATTTGAATAACCTTTCTAACCTAAAATCACTATTCTGAGTTACTTAGGCCGTAATAAGTAAAAATGTTCACTATTTTAATACACAACATTGTCTAATTTTTAACGGATGCCTTATTTTGGTGAATGTAATACAATAATACCCCACTTAAAATTGTGCAGAGTTATGATTAAATTATTGCAAACACGTGTTCTTTTTAATATCCTTTGTTTTTGAGTAATTCATGGTAATTCGTTTATTTTATTTAACTTGCTGAGTTACCTATCTATTTCTAAACGTTTATTTGTTCAGCCTGTTTGACCTAAGTATTGAAGTTTACAAAACTGTATGATTTATTTGTGCGTTTTTTTTGTTGTTTTGAAAATCCTTCAGATATTTTAGGGAAATAGGAAGATGTTTTGATGAAGGAACCAGGCATTTTGAAGAAAATATGAATATTCACCTACATTCCATCAATGTTGGTTGCTTGGTTTTAAATCTCTAGGACCTTCAAGTTGTATTGGCTAATTGATAGCACACAGCCTATGTTCTATAGAGTACATATGCTTACCAACTTTTAAACCTAGGTAGCTAGATATTGGTATGGTTTACTTAGCTCTTAATAAGATGCAAGCTTCCCGTCATTGAATTTTGGATTTTACGCAGAAATAGAAGAACCGCCGCGTTACATTTGATTGGTTCATCATTATTATATATTTTTATTACGAAAAATTGTCAGATGCAGGTAGTCAATTACTAATCATTGCTGTGAGAACATCTTTGAATGCGTTTTCTTAGAATCTTTTACAATTAGAATGTAATTGAGAAACAAATTTCTTGGTAAATATTGTACTTCGAATTTCCTGCTATGTACAAGTGAACAGTATAAAAATGTAATGACTACTTAGTGGGAAAGTGGTATATATATATATATATATATATATATATATATATATATATATATATACTATTGCAGTAAATATTCCCACGAATTTAGTGTTCATCTTATTGTGCTAATGAGCAGTGGCAACTTAGAACGATGTAGCTGACTGAACGATGGTCCATGATGCTGACCGAATTTGATCGATTGAGTTGTAATATGATCTTTTTTCATAGAAGACTTAGAATTAAATGCATATTATTTGGATAGGTAGTCGTAAGTATGGTCGGTAGGAATCCATGATCTTGGGTTTCATTCTAGTTGACCCACGATAGCAAGAAATGTCTGTAATAATTAGGAATCATTGCTCTCAGGTAGAATAATGTGGTAATTATTATTGTTAATGATAGTTTTAGCAGTGCGATAACAGCAAATTACCAGCATAAATGTATGAGATATCTCAAACACCATCATCTGATATAAGTAGATGATATAAATTTGTGGAATTTGTCAATTGGATCATATCTAGACGACCATCACATCAAAAAAATAATTTCATGGAGACGAAAATAGAGTTTTAAATGTATTTACTTTCATTAAACTTAATTACAATACTTGATTATACAATCAAATTATAAAACTTTTGTCACTCTTTTTCAGTGGAATCTACCACTATTAATTCACAGGTTATAAGTATTTGATCATAGATACACCCGAAGAATTTCTTGTGCATTTGGGACCACTGATTAAAAAATGTTGAAGTTAGAAACAAAGTACCAATTAGAAGGGAAAATCGGTTTATGCAGTGATAATGAACCGTTATCAAATGAGGTGATAAGGAAATGTGTTAATTATGCCCAAACGTTCGAACCTCGATTTCAATGTGGGAATAAATTATAAGAAGCTAACGGTGACCAATTCAATATATGAAATCACTTCATGAGATCAGTGAATACAGGAATGGGGTGTACTAATAGGTACAGACTATTTTATTGGTGTCCGCTCGACGATCACAATCAATAGTTAGAGATGATGGGTGTTATAGCCCAGAATCAGTAGTAGTGGCCCAGATGCACTCACTTTTTTCTTTCCCCTGAATCTTGAGTTTCTAAATTACAATATACATTTTGTTCTGTGAGTCGATTCTATCTTCTCGAATCACGTTGTCAAGGCCTAATTCTTTATTTTACTACTGATACTAATGCTACTCCTACTACTGTAGGATTTATCTCTATACCCTGACCCTGTGGATCTGGTATGTCAGCTTGAACAGATTCAGACGCATTGATTTAAAATTCATTCATCCTTTTTAACCTACGATCAATTTCCGGTTATGTTTAATCTCCCGTTTTTAAATGAATATGCGCATTACAAGTAACCATTACAAACCTACATACTTTAATATACTTGATTCTTTGAAATTATTAGACCATAATAAATTATAAAGGAAGTGAATTAAAAACAAATGTAAATTCTATCTATGAACTATTTTTATAGTGAGATTTTGTATTGAACCTGTCTTTCATGGTATATATATGTGTATGTATCACTTTTAAGTTCTGATTAAATTTTACTATTAATAATAATAATAACAGGTTCATTCCTCTGACATAAGTATTAAATAAATAAGTCATAATTGTGGACTAACAAAATGCATGACAAATCGAACCAAGAAGTATCATCTTTACTCACTCTACACCCGTAATGACCCGGGTTTATAATCTCAACTACCATAAGAAATACAGTTATCGCTTATTGTATTGGCTGATATAAACGTGCTATTTTAAACCTAATGAAATTCTCTAATGTCGACTGAATGGTGTAAACGGCATCTTGTCCACTGACTGACCTAAACATATGGAGTCCCATTTGAAGAGCCATCTTAAACTAAGTAAGAATGCATGTCTAGTGCACCCATTAGTTTACATTTCTAATTTGGATTCATTCGCAAAGCTGCGCAACCGCTATCCATCGCCATTGGTAATACATGCTTTATGCACATGGTTGTTTGTTATGTCCATAATTAAATAAGTTAATAATCATAATAAGCTACATAGCTATGTGGAGCTGAAGTTTTCATATGAGGCCGGAGGTTCGCCATTGGTATTGTGGATGGTTCGACATTGCTTTGACGAGTTTTGCTGACTGTTCATGCACAAAATTGGTTTGCTGGTTAACCGATTTCATTCACACCGGTGGTTGCTTTTCAGTGTTCTCAAGGGCCATTGTCATTTGGACATTGTAAAGCATGTCATTATTGAGTTTGACTGTCGTGTAAGCGGGATAGGTCAATTTTGGCCTGTTCGTGCTGTGCATAATTGATTCACACGATCATTGATCGGAATAATTGTACATGTGACGTGAATGTGTATATGAATGGTGAGAATGGTCCGTCAGGGTGCTTCGTACCTGTGTGGTTGCGCCACAGGGTTAAACTGTACTATTCAGATTGTAGCGTGAAAGCCTATACGGTGTCCGGTTCTCCTGTGAAGCGGGATTACGTTGTACTGTTTGGGCTGTCATGTGAAAGTCTGAATGGTGTCTGGTTCTTCTGAAAACCAATGTAAAATTACCCTGGCCCACAAGGGTATATTATAAAACTATTATATAACTATAATAACCAAAAATCCTTTCTATATCTGTTACCATCATTTACTTTGATCATGGTACACCCTATCTTTATTTAACCAGTCAACAAATAGTGTAATTTCATTATATCAGTCATAAAAAGAGGCTGTGGGATATTTACGAACGTTTGACTGGTTAGCCATAACTCAGAATGAAGACCTTTAGAGCTGAATTATAAACAGTAACGAACTGTAATTACAAACTTCTTCAATAAAGTGACACACCTCATTCAGAAACCTTTGGTTATTTTAGTTGTGCTACTACATGAATTCGTAGGTGACAAAATATTCAAAGTATTTTCAGTATGGAGTTGTGGAGATTGTTGAATTTCATTGAAATTATGAACCGGTCTTAGACCACCACTGAAAATCTAGAGGCACTGGGTGTCCGCTTCTTCCTGGTCGCGGAATAATCAGCAATGTGCATCCACGACTTCTCAACCAAGAATCGAATTCGGGATCGGCTTATGTTTCTATGAAATTTACAAACCCCCACTAGCGACTATCGTATGCATTCTAGTGACTGGTTACAGATGTTAACTCTCTGAGTTCTGATGAGAAGCAGGAACCAGTAAAGGTCAACCGTATGGAGTGTGCACTAGACACCTACCAATTGTATAGGAATATGCTTGCAAAATGTCACAAACTGGTTGAAGTTAAACCAGCAAATCATTTGATGCCAATTCAATGATCTAACAATTAAGCACTCGTCATGATATTTGAAAGTACTTGGTTCGATTCTGAGTTGGCTTGTGGATATTCACTGTCTAGGAATTCCATACTAGGTCGAAATAACTGCCCAGTACTTCATGATTTTTTAATTATTGTTTAAGATAAATCTGTTATGTAATCTATGAATTAAGTATCGGAGATTTTTTACATTTTACATTTACATACAGTCTACTGACTTAAATTATTAAAATAACCTAATTAACAACTAAATTTCTACAGATGCAATCTACTTAGTAACCAGTTTTTTTTAGTAAAATCAGACAAGGATGTATTTGAAAAGCACCCAGTGTGAAAATCTTTCGAAAAAATCATTATTAAGAGAACAGTTAATCATGTTGAGTAGTTGAAAAACGTTGAAATAAAGATTACTGAGGATTTCTTTAAAATCCTCGAATTAAATAAATATCAAAACTTGCTTGTATAATTCCAACTAGGAAAGTAAGCGTCACGGCTACAATTGCTCTTGGTTCTGAATATTGTAGTGGCAACTTGTTAGTTATTATATCTTCAACTAGTGTAGAGTTTGAATTTATGATGGAATTATGATGATTAACTGCGACTTTTGAACTATGCTGTTCAATTGGGCCAACAATCAGTAGGCTTACAACAGCAAATGTACCTAAATTAAATAAAAACAGTTATTTATAGTAAATGGCTGACCATTTGCTATCAGACCTACAAATCTCGGTTTTTATTCCCAATGTGGTCGTAGATACCCACTTTTGAAGAGTTGCATACAAGGATGAAACAGCTAACCAGTACTTCCTCCAACCACCTAACATCTCCAACTTATAACGTATTTTACCACTATTTACATAATATGGAAAGTATCATCAGTATAGAGTTGTGGAGATTGTTGAGTTTTGATTGAGATCATGAGTCGATCAATGTTAGACCATCATTGGAAACCTGGAACCCACTACCGAAGACAATGAACCGAAGGTTCTTGGTTCGAATCACACGTACGGGACCGTGGATGCGCACTGCTGAGGAGTCCCATACTAGAACGAAACGGTGGTACACTACTTCCAGGCTTTCAATGGTAGTCCAACATTGATTAATTCGTGATCTCAATGAAAATTATCATTAGTTTATTGCGAGATAGATATTGAAGATTTTCAATGAGAATTTTATCAGCTCTATAATGAACCATTTATGGAACAATATGATTGATCAGTACTAATACTATACCTTGAAATGACTCTGTACTTTCAAGAATACAGAACACGGCATCCTGATAAATCGATTGATTGCAATTCTTGGATTCGTTGTAAATTATTATCAGTACTTTTTAGTATAAAGAACAACTGTATTTTGTGTTCGATTTTCTAATTTACTCATATTTTGATATCGATAAAATTTAGTTGACTCATATTATTCGTAAAATATTTAAATAATTCATTTTCAGTAGTTGTGCATGTGACTTAAATCATCAAAAATGGAGACTACTTGAAATTACGTCATTTTAATGAGTGAGTAACTATAAATCTACTTCCTGTACTATTTAGTACTTTTTTAACAGGACATAATTAGAGTTCCGAAAGAACCAACACAGTGATTTGAATTCGAACCCTTATCACATAGCACCACAGTTAGAGACCTGGGGGGACAACTGTTGAGTCTTTTAGTCTGGTTGTTACTTTACAGAGTTACCAACAGAATGTAATCAGAAGAAGGATTAGATAACGAGGAAGTGATAAATAGTTGTTTCGTCTTATGTCTGTTCTGTGGTAGAATTGTGGATGTTAGGGCCAAACAGTTAACTGTTATTTATTTTATTTTATTGATTATTTAATTAGGATAATTTCGTAATGGAAAACTTCATTGTTCAACTGTTTATCCGCCTTCTACATTTCTGAGCATGAAATGTAATGAAGTAATAGTACTGAACCTTGTTTGTCAATCAAACTACTTTGTTTATGCTAACAAAAGGTCTTTTCTCAAAAGTATTTGATCAAAGTAATTCATATATTGAACAAATTCTATTTAGATTCACTTATATACGAGTGTAATATTTGCTCAACTCACTATGAAATTTACATTAGAACTAGTCGAAGTTATCAAAGAAAATATGAGCAAAGTTAATTCCAAATAAAATCATAATTATTTTCTAAAACTGAAATTCAAAGAGTCACTTATCCAAAATATCACTTAATTGACTTCCTCTACTTAATAAAAGCCCGATTATATCCATTTCCTTTCATTTCAGCGAATTCAGTTCAAACTGATTAAAGAAAAATTCACTTGGTGTTGTTTACCTGTATCCTCCCATTGTTATTTAGGACTGCAATTGGTCAGTCTCTTGTTGGCATATGTGCATCCTATGCGAACTGCCTTGAAATTGCCTTAGGTCACAAGCTTTATAAGCAAAGAAGAATGAAGACAATTCAGAGAAAAAAACTTTCTTTCCGACCATATCATATACTTAAGATGTAAAATCTTATTTAATATGCCTCGATTTTTACTATTTAATATTACCATATTGCTAATAATCTAAATATCTTGACTTCGAATTAGACATTACCGTATTACTATACTGGTTGATACAGTTCGGTTGTCATTAATTAAAACTTAGATATTATTACACTGATTATCCCTTGGAGACCAAGCGGTGCATTTTATTAAGTGAAGTTATTCGTCGTATGAACAGCTGTAGTAACATCCCCAGATGCTGAAATGAGGGATGACTGTTTCAGTTATTATTAAAATATCACATCCTTGACATTACATAAATGATTTAATAATAAATATCACTAATCACAAACACTAAGATGGATAATATATCATGCCGACTCCTTCCAAACATGAGCATAAAAAGTCGATTGGAGATAAAATTAAATTTTTACATAGTTTCTTTTCATTAAATTTAATTTCTTTAATGAGGCTATCACTTGTTAATATTCGTTTACAAAGTGAGAAATATAACAAATTTGATAGATGGGGAAATTCTCCTCATTTCAAAATTAAATCCGCAATCTAATACTACTATCAAGTAGTTTAAACTAATTCATAAAACCATCCCATCCCACTAATTTACGGCAATCGGTCAATTCTTTCGACAAGTAATTAACTCATATCCGTGTAAATAGTACCTAAATATGATATTCAATGTTAGTATAGCATGAACAAACCTAAGTAATAGCACTGAAACCTATATGAATTTAAAAGGTCTCTTAATTTAGTGTATTGTTCAAGCCATTGTACTACCATTTTATCAAATGTGCATTTACTTCCATCAGTTTCTCTGTTAAATAGTTGCTTTAAGTAACTAATCATGTCTTTTAACTGCATGTCCTTATGTTCTTTTCTAGAGTGTTTATAATTTATGGAGAATCTAATTAGTGAGAAACTCGAAAAGTACAACCACTGTGATTTATCTATTTTCCTACTTTTTATAGTATAATTGATGCGCCAAATGTATATGACAATGAAAAGAGATTTCAAGAGAACAAGAATGGTTACAGATAGTTTAGGAATGACTATGAATGATAGCTAATTAGTGTTTAAAAGCCCTTTACGCATATTTTCTTAATATTGACAGATTATTTGGTGAAAAAAAGGCAGTGTCATTGTAATACTGAATATTTCGTGCCAAGGTTTCTTCATTGTAATCAAACGTATGATAATGAATCAAGACAGTATTATTCGTCCTTTGATCGTATTTTCCACACATTATATTACTTAGTACTACCTGTTAGACAATTTCAGAGTAATTCTTTATTAGTAAGTAATATCAGCTGAAGAAACAGAGAAAATCCAAAAAAATTAATAGTTATTTTACCACAGTTTTGAACTCTTCAATGGTGTGCAATCAAAACCCACCCAATCGATGAACTTAAAATTTCGTAGAAAGCTAGATAACATTGCTGAGAAATATTAGATACCTAAAAATATAATACTTAGAAATAAAACAGTGAAAAGTTTCCAAATATTTTCTTTAAAGTTTAAAACATCGTGTTATTATAGGTTTGAACCATTGGAGTATATATTTCACATAAATCCTACTGTGAACACCATAAAAACTTGAGGTTATATATTCCATTTCAATTGGAGTAGTAAGTGTGTATTATTGAAAATCATTGAACTAAAATGAAAAACTTATCAAATCCTTTATGACCTTTCATAATTTTCTTGTTAATGACAATTTGTAATGAGATCTTATTTTTAAGAAATATTAAAGAATCTCGAATAGAATTATTCAATTTCATAAATAATTTGACTAGAACCAAAATAAGTATCAACTAATATGCATGTTTAGTATGTATATAAAAGTCATATTATTGATAATCATTAATAAGAAATTAACTATAAATCATTAATCCATTGTTGATTTAACATGATTATCTTTAGTTTGATCTAATGATTTAACATTAATGTATTATACAATTGTACAGTTCTACTGAATGATTGATTTACATGTGCATGTAAGTATTTATATACCCATGTATAGTAAGGTGTATTTTATTTTAGTACATTCAAACTAGATGAGCTCTATTCACTTGGATAAAATATATTGTCAATGATTATTATATTTGTTATGAAAGAAATTCTTATTAGTTGAATTCATGAGTCAATTGAAGCTAGACCACCATGGAAAACCATAATATCCAAAAAACACCTCTCTGATTAAATTTTTATTATTTTATTGATGTAATGACTTGAAGAGATTGATAAATTTTTGTGGTTTACATCACGAACTAGTCTTAGTCAAATAATAACTAAAAATCAGGAAGCACTAAATTTTTGTTTCATCCTAATATCCACAAGCCAACTCAGAATCGAATCAAGTACCTTCAAATATCATGACGAGAGCTTAATCGTTAGATCATTGGATCGGCATCAAATGATTTGCTGGTTTAACTTCAACCAGTTTGTGACATTTTGCAAGCATATTCCTATACGATTGGTAGGTGTCTAGTGCACACTCGATACGGTTGACCTTTACTGGTTCCTGCTTCTCATCAGAACTCAGAGAGCTAACTCTTGAAACTAGTTGCTAGTTATAAAAGCAAAAATAACTTAACCAGTTCTACCTATCGGTCATTGAAAGGTCATCGATACCATTTGTCGAATTCATATTGAATTCTACTGTGAAAGCATTCCACTTATCCATTTAAATAAGTAGGTGATGCATTACACCTGGGACTTTCATAAAAACGATACCATTAACGTTTCTACTATCATATAAAAAGGAGACGATAATCATCTATTTTAAAGCACCGAAATGGTTTTGGATAAACTTCTATAAAAAAGAAAACAAGTTTATTTATGTTAGTGTGTTATTGGAAATAACTGGGCCTTGATTTATGTAATCGCTTAACACGTACTGATTAATCAGTTGATTTTCCTCATGGAGCGAACTTAACTAGATAAATGATGAATGCCAGGAAATAATAAACAATTGTTTCATGATGTCCATATCTACCCTCTTGAAATATTGAAACGAATTCTGAACAATGACAATATCAACCTCCATAGGCTAGAAATATAAGGTTCGAGTTTTAGCATTACACTTAAAACTACGATTGGAGTAAATCTCATCTGAACTTGGAAGATAAATTTTTTTAAGAAAATTCTAACGTTGAAGATTATTTTCAACCTTCTAAAATAAGGTCGATGTTAGAACCTCAAGTATAAACCTTGTTTCCTAAGTTTTGGATCCATAAAATAATTCATAGTATACAGAAAAAAACTCACATACAGTACATTTTGACTGAAATTAGGATAAAAATGTACTTCAGTTGACTGATCCAAAATCATTTTGGGAATCGTAGTTTTATGATTTAGTGAATAACAACCAACTACCTTGTTTCAAAATACGAATTTCAATGGGGAATACTAGACCATTAGGATTTTAATGGAACATAAAGAGAGAAAAGCAGTACATCTCCCTATTTAGTTTTTTATCATATTTTTAGACTAAAAAGCAACTTTTAACTGTTTGTTCCTGGATATTTATCCAATTTTGAAATAATTTAGTTATAGACTAACTTCAGTTGCTGAATCATTGAAAGCTAAATAGTATTGTAAACAGGTATTTCGTCCTAGCTCATGGCTTCTTAACAATATACAGCTACAACTTTATTACAGATATAATTCAGGATTTTTAAGAATCAAGGCGATGTAGTTACATTTAGATATATTACTGATTCACTCTCGAATGATCCACAGCTTCAATTACATCTAATTTATAATACAACCGGACGATTATACAGCAGAATCGATTATATCTATCTTACGTTCAGCACAGCTAAGCACTAGCCAAGACACCCGGATGAAACTCCTGAAATGTTCCTGAAAATTAGTCATTAGTGTTCATATGATTGGTGTTTCTATGTGTTTTCTTGTGCAGATCAATCGAATTCTGGAATAGTTCTCGTTAGGACATGTATTATATACACCCAAGCGCAACTTACCTCGACGGGCGATATTTTCTAGTGCGGGAAAAAACCAGGGGCGAGCAAGCTAAAACATTGTATCAGTCCATGTTATTAGGAGTAGACTACCTTGTTAGGGTCCACTTGTTTATTGTAACTAATAGCTGGAGACTAAATTAAATAGCTCAAAATCGTTTGCGATGGCATAGGTGCATCCACTCTTTGTCGTCTTTCGAACTCTGAGATTATAAATTCCTCAATATTTTCCCTTATTTCACCAATTTATATTTTCTTCTCACATAGTATCTTTGATGCCTAATCTCCTTTATTACTACTGGTACTGTTACTACTTTTACTATTCTGTGGTTAGGCCTGACAATTTCATCTCTCTGTGCTAATGGAGCATGGTAAATTGAACGGACGTGCATATGTATCAGTTTCTACATTGTGACTGGTTGACTAACCGAATGACTGGGTTATCGTAAGTTTGAAATGTAGAGGACAACAACGAAACATCTGCTCAATCCCTTCTCGATTCGAGTGATTCACTAGTTAACATTATTGTATGAAGCAAAACAATATCTAAACTACTACAAATTGAAATGAATATTTGCTTATTAACTCCATACATTTATTCATTTCAAATCATAGAGTTCTATCAGTGTGACATAAACTAAAGTACTTATGTAATTACTCCATAAAAATTATATAAGATTTTAAAAAGCAGACGAATTTACGTTTGACGACTAGCGTTATATATATATAATGTTTGACGTTACTTAGGTTCGGTTTTTTAATGTGTTTTTATTTAAAAATACGTTACCTTTCGAACATAGGTACACGTAAAATCTAAATTGTTTTGGCAGATGAGCAATGGAATTAATTTACATATTATGAAGTTTTTAGTATATGCATTAATTTTGCAGTCAGTTTTTCACTATAAAAATCTGAAGAATTAGTTTAGTTAGATGATCAGTGGAAAACGCTGATTATTTTTTGGTGATTTTCATGAATTAATATCGACTAGAGAGAAAGTGAAAATCATGAAAATAAGTCCAACGATCTGTAGCTAGGATGCATCAGTTTGATAAGGCTGTTAATCTCTGAGATGTATGATTCATTTGTGAACCCATTATTATTTCTTAAATAAAAACAGTAGTACAAACACGAGACGAGAAGTGGGCTCTTAGAATTTCTCTACAAATGACAGAATAAGATGCTCGGCAGCAGTTTACTTGTGATCAAAATAGTTCACTGGTAATATCTTGAACTTTAACGTTGTGTAACTTAAGCTCGGATACCATAATGACCATTAGTTCCTTCAATAGTTCAGGTACGCTCACGTTATGAGTTCCAACTTACACAAAACTTAAATCTATGGTTTACTTCCAGCTACCTTCAAACACAATACAGAACACATCGTTGGTCGTATGTGAGAAAATTAGAATACCTCACTTCTCAAATAAACTATGAAGAACTATGTGTGACTGTCACAACATAACAGACAACTCAGTAACAGGCCACATCCACGACCACTCATCAGATTAAACCTGGAACCATCACTTTCTTACGAAAAACACAATTATCAATCAATATCAGCTATTTCCTTTTTTGAACGAAATCATTACTAATTGTTTAAAGCATTTATGAATCTGAAAACAGGTACATGTAGTGGTTGTCGGTCATCATATTTAATTGAAGGATTTTTGTGGCGGTTGTTTTAATTTGTAGATTGTATAATACAGAATGTATTTCATGTATGGTTCTCATACTTTACGGAGACATTCTGTAATTTTGTGTTAAATGCACTGATTTTCTCTACCTGTGTGTTCGTTCACCACGGTAACATCGAAACCCAGAGGCAACCGGACGGCTGTTTTGTCCTAGTATGACGCTCCCCAGAAGTGTGCACCCACAACCACTACAGGATTTAGAGCTAGGATCTCCAGGTTTCCTGGAACACGTTTAACTACTGTAACCATTGGTTTGGCATCCAATAGGAAAATCTCTACTTCAGTCAATTTGAGATAGAGGGTAACGATCAACCAGTGTCATAGGTGACAAATGCTTCACTTCCAACTAGTAAAAAATCTCAAGATTGTAGAAACACGCTGATGAGAAGCCCTGTGTAAGGACGAAACAGTCGTTCAATGCTCCGTGGTTTTAATAGTACACCAACTGAGTTAATCTATAACAAGTAGACCCAAAAATTACTATTTTTATTTAATGAACGTGAATTTTTAATTGTTTCACATACAGTTGATTACCAATGTATGTTTGCAGATTAATCACCGACCCTTATATCCATCTCTCAACAAATAAGAACAGTCAAAAAAATGTAATTCAAAATTTCACTTGTATTTTATTTGAGTGCTAGAGAGACATGAGAAATAAATAATCTGAAAACCTGATTAATATACTCAATCACCAAATAAGGCAATATGGATCAGAAACAGAGAAACATATATAACTAAACTTTCATATTGATTATCAACTAAAACTTACCCATAGAAAATTGTGTACAACGTCCGAAAATTGCATAGAACAATGGACTTAAAAAACCAATATACAATCCATAAACAGGTGGTAAACCAGCGAGTAATGAATATGCCATACCTGAAATTTTAAAAAGAACACAATATTCTACTATCCTACCCCTCCTATATCATGTTTATTATTAGAAAGCATGGAATAAATACTAGTAGAAAAAATATACTTTCCAATATATTTAGCGTTGGAATTTATCAACTTGGTGTATCCGCACCTCAATATTGATGTTCACATAAACTTCGAGTCAGTACATTTTACTTTAAACTAACACGTTATTCATTTGAAGTGCTGAATATTAAAAACAGGAAATTACAAGTCTTTATACATATTTTTGCCGGTAACATGAAAGGGGTACAAACAGGTCATTGATTTTTCTTGACATGTTCGTTTCTTTGTTCAGATCTTTACTAAATCATATTGATACATGTTTAAATCAATTTCCATGCAAGATCTACGCAACTGGTGAAAACTTAACAAAATAAATCAAATTCACGTTGATCTGCTCAAATAGTTGTTCTTACTCTTTTCATATCGGCAAAATATTAGTTACTTAGTCTGAATTTTAGAACCATCAGCAGTGCACACGGACGACCTTACATACATATATTGATCTTATTTGAGGTATCATAGAAAACTAAGGAGCATCGGATAGTCGTTTCATCTTAATATTAAGTTCACAGTAAAGCGCATCTGTGACCTCTCCAGAGACCGAACCCATGAGTGTTCCTTCACTACAAATATATCACACTGGACCATCATACCCAACTGCGATTATTAGTTGATATGTACATTTCATCATACATATACAGAAAGATGACTATTTTGTAGCAGTAAGTAATCACCTTGAAGAACACTCATAAATGATTCATACAGAGAATTAGAGTACCTGGCTACACATACGCTTAAAATAATCTATCATAAAATATATCAGTGAAACGAATCGGATGATTGATATGAATAGCTCTTTTAAATTGTTATTTAACACTCCCCATGTAAAATGTATATAAATAAATTTATTGTATTCTTAATATTGTATAACAATAAATTAGAATTATTAGTAGCTCAGATTTGGCTGTAATTGTACTACAGTCTTCATTCTATCGATTTTCATGATTATTTGGATTGTCAGTCTGATTAATTCGTTTGACCTTATTTTTTATATATTCGTGATTTTTTCATTAGATATTACGAAGACAGGTTATTAGTTTATGAATTAGACTGTACAGAATTTATTGTATACTAATAATACTGATTTGTTGTCATGAGAATCATACAGTGAATCACTTAGAAACTGTTAACTTCAGTCTAACATGATTAGATTAAAAACTCTTGGCTAAATTATTACTAGTAATCAACAAGTTTTGAGAAATAAAAGTGTCCGCAATTCAAAATTATTTCATACTACGTTGAAACACTTTTAAAAACATTCACTATTTCTGAGAATGATATGAATGAGAATAAACTAGCAATAAACACCTTTTTTTCTTTCGATTAAAACAAAACCACCGCACTATTTTTTTACCATAGATAAATACGCTGTGTCGTTGATTAGATTCGAACTCTATACTGTTGTACAGACAATAAATGATTTCTATTAAACCAATTTGCTACATGAACTTGGAACAAATACAAAACCTACGTTTTCGCACATAAGTGAGGGTACTTTGTTTCTGTATCTTACAACGGTGAGCTATCAACCTCACACATTAAAGTATGGTTATACATTATCTTATACCATACTTTTATATCCTAAACTATTTATTTACCCCTACACTGAGTGCATATTTTAGCAGCTGCCGTCTAGGCGATTTCGGAGCATTCATCCATATACTATGGGAACGAGATTCACACCACTGCTACGAATGGCTCAATTACGACACTCAACGACTCTAAGGCATGAGTATCAAGATAAGAGCTTAGAAACCTGTATTTCTGGGTTTATAAAGAGCTACAATCAGCAGATATTTTGTTCACTATATAACAGACTCTAAAGTACAGAAGCCCTTACCACTAATGTGCACAATTTCTAAATATATGTAATATGTAACATTAGAACCTGAGTCAGTCTCTCTTATCATTAGAAAATAATTACACCATTTATACTACAATACGCCAGCATTATTCAAATAACTTATTGTAATAAATGAAATCTGAAGTACAATGGGAACAACTTGCTCTGACCAACCATGCATATCAGACATAAAATCTTCGTAGTTTTTAGATATAAATTAGTGACCGAATAAGGAAAGATTACTTATATCTTTTTATGGTTCAAAACTATCTACAGACAAAAGCAGAATCTACTAACATCTGATACATTAAAAGTGAATCCCTCGAACTGTTTAGGAATTCTTTTGAAATTTACTAGATTCCCAGTTTACAAAAGAAGCATACTATGACTGCAAAAGACACAGCACAACTTGTTTTGGTTAAATACCAACAGTAATAGCTGACTCATTAAAGCTATTAATAATAACAAATGATGCCGATGTAACACATTGCATACATCATAAGGCTTATCTTAACGAAAAGCATAAAATGAAGTACGAATGAATTGTGTTGTAATATCGTTTCTCTCCTGTAACCAACCTTTTATCAAAAATAGATCAAATATAAGGTTATGCATGTTTTAATAAAACGATTATTCACGCTTTCAATACTTGACGCATGATTTGGGAGTTCCTTGGAAAATATGTGAATTCAGAATTAGTAAGTTTTAAGTCACCTAACTGACTAACAATGAGAAAATTTTGATGTGTTGCAATTCGGTTCATCTTTAAGTGTCACCCTTAATTTTTATTTCAGAAGAAACAATAGCTCGTTTATCCAACAGCGATCATCAATAAGTTGGATTTGTGATTTTCAGTAATTTCATCGGGTATTTGACCAAAATCTCCGTAACCATTTCACTGTTGTGATATAGAATTTGAAAGTTTTGTTCTGTCCTTAAAAAGCGTTTGACGTGTAAACCAAACAGATGATTAAAAATGAAATGACGTAGTAACTCCAAATTTCGAGATTACAGTTAAATATAACGAGTAAGATCTTTGAAGTTGAATGAACTGAGAGAAATATGACTAAGTCTCTTACTTACGTTCATATCATATATAAATAAAAGATTATACTTGCCTTGTGGGATATTCATAACGCCTATTGTCAAACCACCGGAGATATCTTTCAAAAAATCTGACCGCCAATTATAATGTGTCAAATATCAATACATGGAAATATAGACTTGATAAAGTATATCGAATATGATTTCCATTGTTGTTTACTACAACATGATAATGATTTTAAACAACAATGACTTTTCTTAATGCTTGAGTTAGTATGTTTAGACATTAGTGAATCCCAATCTGCAATCGGTCGACTGAATGTGATACGTCCTAAGTGAACATTTGTCACAAATTTGTTTTCATGCATAGTTCCATTTAAATTTAGTGATTTACAATGAGTCTCATCATTATTAACTGCGACATAGCTTGACATTGCACAGAAATGAATTAAGTCACGTTATATCAATTACTTTTATTATTACTATTATCTCTAGTTTATATATAATCTATTAAAATGACTGATGGACGGATAAAACCTTATAGGTGATTTGTAGCTCATCAATAATCCAATCACAATTACTACTTAGTGTACACACATAAACATACGTAAACGGACATAATTCCATAACTTAGTGCAAATGTGAAACGAATACGAACCTGTGGAAATTCTAAATTCACATAGTAATTAGTAATATGCGTATGCAATGTGCGTATGATATTCAACAAGATAGACGAAAACACAAAAACCGAAGCACAAAAGTAAAAAATAACAAATTAAGCAAAAATAGATTTTGGAAAAACAAGAAAATGATACACAGGTAAAATTTAGAACTTTTTTTTTACCAAAAAGTGGAGTCAATTTACATGGGTAAAGAATGAAGACAAATTTCACTGTTTTCGTATTTTCGTGAAATCATCATCATCAGCATCCTATATATATTCACAAAAACTAAATTCGAATATTTCCATGTGTTCATGTTAAGGTTTATATCAATGCAGAAATATTCAAACCACTGAATTCGCTGAACTAATACAACAAGGGGACGGTGCAGTAAAAACAGTGACTATAACAAATATATCAATTGGTCTTTGTCTTAGAGGAATTGTGGAATATTTAGAAGTAGAAAATGTTTATAGCTACAATTTTAAAGCATCTGAAAGAAGGGAGCGAACATCTCGTTCACTAATTCGATTCGATGATATAGGATTCACAATGGATAAACTGAGATCCGAGGCAGCTGAGTTCCAATTACCAAGGACTTTGAAAACATTTTCATTTTCTGTCATACCATCTAGACTGGAACATGGTAAAATATTAGTTGACTTCGACCTTCTACTCCGGGAACTAACACGAGTAGTGTCTTCAGATTCCTCGGTCTGTTCTGTGTTGTGTTCAGACACACAACCTGTTACATTCTGTTCCATTTGTAATTTCTCAGATGCAATGCGCAGCATACCCTCTTCTAAAGTACCTTCAGAGATTAGTCGTATGACGTGAACAGGACTAGAAAATTAAAACATGATAGTTTATTAGTACAAAAAAATAAAAAGCAGACATTTAAATAACATGGTATGATATCATTCAATGAAAGAGTAGAATATACCTTACAGATAAAACTAGTTATTTAAAAAGGCATATAACATAATCATTACCCATCACTTATAATTTCTAATACAATAGTGAAATTTAAAGCAATCTAAAAGCATTAGCCAACATGAACTAACGTTCATACTCCATATTGGGAAACATATACAATTTTTTTACATTCAATTGAGATCAGTATACCTAATAATCACAATGTAATGATTAAGTCTTGGGTATTTTTACTGAATTCAATTGACCAAATAGGCTAAGGTGAATATTTCAAAAGGTGATATCATTTGTTTGGCATTTTTGATCTTATTTTGGTAACGGCAACCGGTTTTAAACTTTTAGGGAACCTATTTTTAAAATGTATGGTCATTACAATGAGTTTTTCTATTTTCCATGTTTTTAACGAATTACTTATGCATGTAAATTTTAAGACGTATTTATCATGCACTTAAATCCTACAGTTTACGATGATACTCAATAATATACAAGAAACAAGCGGAAACATTAATAGTTGACATATTCTTTGGAAAAAGAGAGAACGTATTTGGATCTATGCACAAAACGCACTATGTAATGTGGTAATGGATGAAAACAGTTAAAAATGAATGGCTGATAAACATTGTTGGGAATGTAATTTGATATATGGTTGGAATAGCTACAAATGGCATGTATGTTAAAGTTGAACAACTTACAGGAATAGGATGTATTTTATACTGAGAATTCTTTCCTGTAACCAAATATATGGTACTGAATCAAGCAACTATCATCATTAAAATTCAAAGCCGATTGTCGTAATCAATAACGAGGCTAAAAGTGTTGTGCAATGACCAATGACATTAAAAAACATTTTAAAACAAAGATGTAGAGAAATATAGTTTGTAATAAGGAAAAACACAAAATATGCGCATGATATAACGTACTTTTTCTGACCAAGTCGATGACAGCGATCCTCTGCTTGTCGATCATTATATGGATTAAAATCGATATCATGTATTATTACAGTATCCGCACCAGTTAAATTAATACCTAGGCCACCAGCACGTGTAGATAGTAGAAAAACTTCAATCGATGAGCTGTGTAAAGATGTACAGGGATTAAGTGAATTCAGGATACTTAATATAAGTAGCAATTTAGCTAGAAAAAACGTGAGGATTTTAACCGGTGATTTTTTAATGTAACCAGTTAAGATTTTACTGATATTTGTTAGTGTAAATTTAGAATCTATTTAGTGGCTAGGTGTGGCCAAACTAAAATATAAAAGCAGTCTATGAAATCATTCAGCTGAGCAGCCGTTGATGAAGGGTATCTGATTGAAATTATCGTAACCAATAGTTGAAGACTATAGATGATATGGTTCGGAATCAGCAACAGTGGCCCAAATGCATTCACTCATTGTCTTCCTTTGAATTTGGAGTTTAAAAACTATCCTGCAGATTCCTATTCCAAGAATATTTTTTTCTTTTTGGATCCTATCGTTTAGAACTAGACTTTTATGCTACTGATAGCTATTACCTCTACTACTCTGACATTTATATCAAGAATTTCAACGCGCTATGCTAACGTGATGTGACAACTTATGTGTGCCAGGTTTTACTACGTTGAACTATAGCTCTAGGTTGAACATTACTTCAGTTCATAGTTAGGTAGATCCCAATCAGATAGCCAAGTTTATTATTATTATATTTTCTACGTCTTAAATATCTTTCTCAGAAAATAAACCTATGCTTTTACGAACTAATTACTGTTGACTACGAACCAGATCTTTTTGGCATAATTAAACCCTTTTAATATTTTGTAAATGTAGATGTATGGAAGTTTATTGAAAAATAATTCCCATTCCCTGTAAAAATCTTCCATTTTGGTCAGCAAAAAAGAATATTTCGTTCTTTAGACATAAGCACTCGATGTTTGAGTTAAAAACTTGTAACAGAAATAAACATCACTCAATCAAACACAATAAAACTTTAAATCTAGAATTGATAATCTCATTATTGTGAGTTGAATAACAATGTTTTAATATATATAGTGACTGGGATATATATATATATATATATATATATATATATATATATATATATATATATATATATATATATATATATAATGAACAAATAATTAAATAAAAATTTTAGTATGCAGATGAGCATTGCTAATGAAATGGAGACAAACTAATACCAAATATTTACCTGTTGAAACGATCTATTAATGTTTGTCGTTCCGAGACAGGAGTTGATCCATCCATTCGTATATAACGCCTGTTAGTTATCCTTAAAAATTCCTCTAATATATCTAACATGATGACAAACTGACTAAAAATCAAAACACGATGTCCTTCAGAGACTAATTTAGGCAAATTGTCATTTAACCATTGGATTTTTCCAGATCCAGAAATGATCGATTCAGGGGAAAGAGTATATGGTGATAAAACCTAAGGATTAAGAAAAAATATCATTTCATTATGTCAAAAGAGACATCGTATTTATTTATTCTTAAATATCAATTTGTATTGACTATATTTATGGGCAAAAGATGTTTGAATTTTTAACACATGTAGTTACAGAGCCAACTAAACTACTTAATTTTTATTCAGTAGCAGTAGACAAGCCCATGTAAAATGAAGCGGGAAGAAAAACAGTGAAATTAAAAATCAATAACCATGACATCCATTAAAGCCATTTGATCAATGTGATCTGTTTCAGTAACGCCCTATTTAATAATTTACATAATATTCCTTGAAATGACAAGGCTTATATTATTAAAATAAGTCGAATATTATAGATGAGATAGTGCAACTGCCTTCATTAGTGTGAATGATAAATCAAAAAGTTAAGCATACAAAAATCGACTTATTGATGTGCTCATATTCAAGTTGCCGTAGTTAACAAAACCACAGATAGAGGAGAGTCAAGAGAAATTAGATGTTATTACTAACAGGGTTACGAAACAAGAGAATAAATCAAGTTATGAAGTCTTTTAAATTAAGGGATAATTAGAGAATGGATACTTTAATGTTATTGCACCTAAGTAGTGTTCATTGACATATACATGATTTCGAGGGGGGATAAGTCGGAGAATCTACACCGAAATAAAAAACTGAGATCAATAATCGCAGATTTTATGAACGAATAGTCAAGCATTCGAGGATACAATCAAGCTATGTACGACTACGATAGGAGAATAATATCGAAATAAAAGACATCAAACCGAAAAGAAATCATTGAGTCCTTCTGGTATTATGATAATCGGACTTCATCGCAACTAAATCAGTTTTGAAGTTCGATATGTAACTTATCTTTGACAACTAAAAATACTGGCTCTAATACTATTTTCAGTCGCAAATCGGACAGTTAGAAATACAATGTAAATCTCAAACAGTAATTTATTCTGTTGTAAATAACTTGTGACAAAATGACTATATCAAGGTAATCCGCACATGATTCATATACTCCAGCCTGGACTAATCAAAGTTGGGGTCTGAACATCAACGAGATAGTTTGAACCCTTATTGATAATTATATAAACAACATAACGGTTGAACGGGTTATTAATTTTATGAACTCAGTAGGCCAATAAATAACCGGTCGTCGTTTGGAGAGAAAAGCACCGGGTTCGAAGCCCAACTTAATATCAGCAATGGGATGTAGGTAAATTTACGTGACGAGTTCAAAATACGATGAAATGCACGTCCCTGATTCTACTATTAGACACAAGCCTGCATCATAAATGTTTTATTAGACCCTCAATAAAGATGAAACAAATTTACAGATAACATGTAAACACCTACATTTACAGCGACTTTAGATAGGAGCAAATACGTGCAAAGATAGCACGACTGTAAA